GGGACGGAAAAGTTACCTTCCCTTGTACAAATAGTGAAAGGATTCAGATCCATTTCATCCTAGGGGTCTCCTCCCTCTGGAATTCTCTGCACGTGACAGAAAGGATGGGTCGGAGGGACAGTGACAGCTTCCCCACCCAACCACTCCAGCCCAGCTGCTAATGAAGGCAACACAGACATCTTTAAGGCAGCACTGTAGGGAAATTAATTCTTCCCACATGCTGGTAACAGCCCTGCCCGTAACCCAGGCTGCAGGGATTTGTCTCTAACGGCAAATTTTAGCTAGCAGGTTTGCAGAGTTATTGCCTCGTGATGAAGTCAGATTAGAGAAGCTAGTCACAGAAGTGTGCAAACCCTCGCCAACTTCTCCAACAGACCACAGACTGTTCACAGTTCCTCCAAGAAAATTTCCCAATCCCGTAAGAACCAACTTAAAATGCTTGCTAGCAGCCTGACTTCAGTCCTGGTCTTAATCTCGGTCCTGGGCATTCAAGGTAAACCAGGGGAATATTCTTCCCCCTGGCCTGTTCTGTGTCATCTGAGCAGAGCTCGTGCATGGAGCTCCTGTAGACGTCAGTGGAAGTTTTATGCATAAAATGAATGCAGAAAGGCAGCTGAAATCTGCTCTGCGGCTAAGGCATCTGCATTGCAGATTGGAGAGGAAAATTTTGCCCTGAGTGCCAAATCTCATCTTTTAAGAGGAAAACTATTTTTGTTTTACACAAGTGCAGAAAATGATCGCTCGGGTAATACGGAACTCAGAAGTTTAAAAGTTAAAAAATGCAACTTTGCTGTCATTTGACCAAGTATTGCAAAAATACTTTTTATTTATTTACTAAAACACTTTTATTTCCACGTTTGTAAGACTGACGGTAACAACACAGGGTATGTGTGTATATATATATTTGCCTGCTAATTTTCAAAACAATTTTGAAAACTTAAGTTGATGTGCCAGGATAACGAGTCACTATTGATGTGGGGAAAGGCAGCGCCTTTAAGGAACAAGCGATAACCACACCGAAGTCAGAGGAGACTGCTTTGATAGCAGCAGTAGATGGTCATAGCGGGATTTCAATGTTTCATGGAAGTTTAAAACATGAAGAAAAGCATGCCATGTAACACATTTTGAAAACATAGTCGAGGATTTAGAAGTGGGTAAGCACTCTTTCAAGTTTGGGGTTACGTTTCAAATTTAACACATTTGGTCATGACTATCATGAGTGCCCTGGGACATTTCTTTCCATCTTCACTGCAACCTCCACTGTTTGAAAAATGAGCGATGAGGAAATAAAAAGCTTCCTTGTTCTTTTACTCATACACTAGACAATGTTATTTCCTTCTCTCCTCCTCTTTGCCCCCCATTAATGATAAATCCAACATGCAATTTTCTGTCATTTCAAAGCCCCATTTAAGTAGGGGTTTAATGAACGCTTACAAAGAGTAGGTACATTTATTGATACACCTGATGATCTGAAAAATGGGTACTTATGCTTACAAAGTAAGTGTAGTGGAAGCTTTGTGTTATATTTCAGCTGGAAATGGGTTTCTTCTCTAGAAACATGTTTTGTAGCAGTGGCATAGAATTAAGAGCGCAGTGATGGAGCAGTAAAACAGACAGGTTCAGCAGTGTCAATGACTGCAGGATGCAAAAAGAAATTGCTTTGACAGATAAACTACTTTTTACAATCAAATATAGTAAGTCCATTCAAGAAGCTCTAGCCTCAACTCCCATATTAATCAGTCTTTGAGAATAATGATAGAGGATTTTATGTGCACATGACAGTGCTTCAAGCACTCCTGCTACTCCTTTTCATTAGCTTGAACATAGTGATGCCTTTAACAGTTACCTGCATCAATGACAGATGAAAGTATTTACATATTTGTAAAATCCTGTATGTGAGCAACCACCTGTGAGCCCTGCCACTCTACCTGATCTCAAGAAATCTCCATCAGTTTTCAGATGAGCAGCTGAGTTTGTGAGTTGCAACTCATGCTGGGATCTCTCCAGTAAAGCAAAGTATCCAGCGAAGAAGTAAAACAGATGTCAAACCCAAACAATGTTGCTTCGTATTAGGGTTCAATAACACTGCTTTTCATAATTTGGCTTTCCTGTCTCTGTTGCCATCTATGTGCTTCAAGGAGATATTCCTCCCAACAGCCCTTACATTAATCCAGACTGTCTCTGTTGGCTTGGATGAGGTAGATAATGACTTAATCTGAGATTTGATGTAATAGTAAATGAAAATTGGCCCTGACATCAAAAGCATTTTGGGAAAGGGACATGGTCTTAATTATTGCCTGTAAACAATCCATCTGTTTCCCTGAAAAAAGGTTTTTAAAAAGGGTTCCGTGTATAATTTCAGAAGATGGGATCCTGTAATGTTTTCTGTTCGAGATGGCTCCTCATAATTCTTACTGTGATTGTCCCTCTTACATATACCAAAAACTGACAATTAATGAGCAAATGAGTAAGACCCACCTATCAGCCAGGCACTGGCTGTACTCATATAGCCAGAGAAACAATTACCTCACTATCTGCTTCAGAAAATGAAAACAAGGAAAAAACCAAACTCTTAGTGACATACTTGTTTTGAACATTGTGTGCATTTCTTTCCCCCTGTATCAATACAGTTAGCTCATGTTCTTTTTTTCATCAGGTTACAGTACATTTCACTCTGTCAGCATGATATAATTTGCAACAGAGGTGATATATCTCCCTTGTTGAAATAAAGGATCTTTTCATACCGCTTAACAAAGCTCTGATTCTAATCACATTCATCACTATTTGGTTCTGAAATTTGCTGGAATATTTACATTAAGGAAAACAAAGCGATCTGAATAGACAATCTGAAAGGGAAAAAAAAGCTTTACAGATTAAGATCCTGGCTATATCCAAATCCTTGAGAAGAGAACCTGGTAGAACTTTAAAAGTTCCCATTAAAACTCTTCACTTAGAGCTAATCTCTCTTTCAAAGATTTAGCAAGGGAAAGAAGGGTTTGAATGAGACAAATCACAATTTAATAACAGTTAAATTACTTAAGAAATACTTACATAGGATTTTGTCTTATCCTTTCACTTGGTCCAGGAATGATGGATTCATTATATGAATTGTGATTCATGAGGGAGGGAATGAGTAAGGAGGTGTGGGGGACATTTCTTTCAGCTAACAGCAATTAACATTTTGAATGGGCTCACTGTATACCTTTCTTACATGGCAATATTCATATTTTAGAATCAAGATAATTTTAGGAGTGTTTTCCATCAAATAATGGTCTTATTTGCCAAAAGTGATGCCTGTAATTGATATTTGTACTTTGTATGAAAAAAAACTTGTGAATGAGAATGACCAAATTTATACTCATGTCACCAGTATGCATACTTGTAAATTAATTTCTAGGTAGTGTTGTGAATGCTGCGATACCTTTTTTATATAATGGTCCTTAAGTTCTTTAAAAGCACCAATTACCTTATCGTGTAAGGAGTATTGTCCTTATTTCACATGCACAGACACTGAGGAGCAGAGCCATGCAAGGACCCTGCAGCAGTGACAAAGTTGTATTAACTGTTTATCTTCAGCTTGGAGAAGGGGTAAAGGAGAGAGATGCAAATCCTGAGTAGGGCAGATAAAGTGGATGTAATATTAATATTTAGCATTTCTCACGTTACAAGGAACAAGGATCCATGGTGAAGAAATGCAGTAATTTAGTTTAAAACCAGACAAAACAAAGATATTCATTCTCTTTTAGACATTTCATAATTGAAACTCGAATTCATTGATGCAGGATTTTGTGGAGGCAACATGACTTGAAAGGGCTTAAAATATTCCATGGAGGACTGATCCACCGCTACTTATTAAGCATGATGACTTAGGTGAGTCCCTCATATAAAGATACACCATAAACTACCAACTGCAAGGGGCCAGGAGGACACGAAAGCAGGACTTTATCCTATGCATAGCCTATATGCAGCTCTAGTTTACCCAGCAGAGCAGTTGGTTGTATATTATTCAGGTGCCATAAATACACAGAAGTCAGGTGAGCTGCCCTGACATCCTCAGAGTTTTCAAAGAGAATTTCTACTTTGACTGGGAGCACGGGGATAAATAGGGGAACATTTAAGCAGCCCTCTGCGGGAGGTCTGGGTTCTGAAAAAAAGGTCACAGCATGGCTTTGGATTCTGGGTCCTCATCCTGGGGCAGGAACAGCCAAAATACCACAAGGATAAGCAATCTGAAATTACAAGATAATTTAACCACTTAAAAAAAAAAAAAAGAGGAATAATTATACACAGCTTCTAGCCCCAAATTAATCTTAAGTCATCTTAAAATTCTTGACCCGCATCCAGTCAGCTTTCTCCTTTTCTCCCTGATCCCTTCTTCGAGGAGGAATGAAGAAACCATCACAGAGCTGCGCAGAACCCTGGCACACTTCTGGTATGGGGAAAAGGCACATCAGAAACCAGCCAGCTTCCTCTCCCTGCTTTCTGCTCTGGAGAACTTTGTTCTTCAGAGAGGAAGGAAGAAACCAGGTTCCAGGGATGAGATGAGCCTGTAAACTCTATGTTTGCTGTGGAGCCCAGCCGACGGCTGTCCCTCCTGAGAGCAGCTCCTCCTTCCCGCAGCCCTTCAGAGGGCGCAGGCCGTGTCCAGCGCTCAGGCCGAAGAAACTCTCCGACTGCATTCCCCAGCTCCGCCTGAACTTTCGACCCCATTGTATACTCTGATTACTGGAACCAGCAGGATTATTTCCACGACCTACTTTCTAGTATGTTTTGCTGCTGCAGAGTGATATGGCCCGAGTGCTACTTGATGCTGCAATTTTCGTGTGGCAGGAGCTGTTCAGCTGCCACATTAAAACTTGCATGGAATAAAACAGCGCTCCTCAACTCTCTGCAAATACGTGACTGTTATTTCCAACAAAACAGCTGTTAAAAAAGCAAGCTTTCTCCTGCTGGAAGCGCCCAAGACACTGCAATAAACAGTTTTTGAGTGGTTCCTCAAACTCATCGACCCTGAAGTCAGAAAAACGGAGAGACAAAGCCAAAGAGAGTTTTCTTCATGGCTTTATTAATTAAGCAGCTGCTCCTGAGGGATTAGTAGGTGTACGCCCTGCTCCAGAGGCAGACGTATGTTCTGCCCTTGATGCACAGCAAGGCATTGTCTGTGTCACATCCAGCTACCAGAACAACGGCGCCTCTGCAGCAAGGCATCTTCTGTCCCACCTTCTAATCCTCCAGACTCTAATCCTTCCCCTTGTCTCCCAATACATCTTCTTACATTTAAGTTGTCCTCAAATTGCCCTGGCCTCTGAAGTTTGTCATTTCAGATGAAACACCCTAATAAGCAGTGCCATTCGCATCCTTTGGCAGGATGGATATGAAAGTGGTATGTTTGCTCCTTGTGAGACTGAACCTTCCCAGTTACACACACTGTAAGAAAGGTAACATTTTCACCCTTCCAGATTGCATCCTTTCTGCTGCCCTCAACTCTTGAATTCCTTTCACAGAACTGTAAATAATAGATAGTGTCAAGATTCCCAGCAAAAGACTACAGAAGCCTCTTGTGGTTCAGCCAAAGAGTACGGACCCTTTGACAGAGGGCACGTGTCTGTGCTGCTGTGTAAGCATGGGGCTCTTGAGCCCTGCTAAAATCAGTGGAAGTACCGTGGTAGAAAAGAAAAGCTTATCAGGAACCGACTGTTTTATAGGGGGGCTTGCTTTGGTGACATTATGCAATAAGTGCGTAATTCTTGGCAAAGCCCTACCTTTATTATAAGTTTTACTAGGTCTGCCTAAACCTTAAGTAAGTCAGGCAGGAGGTGACCCAGCAGAGCTCAGCCTTTCCATTTGACTGCCAGGGTTAAACTGATTTCTCTTCTACTTAAAGTTTATTTCCAATATCAATGCAGCTGAATTTTTCCTTGTAATTCTGAGTATAGTTTTAATTGCTGTCTGAAGAGCCGCCACCCAGCAGCTTATCTACATTACTGCTGCTTGACAGGACTGTAAAAGGAGAGATAAACCCAATAGCAGGAGGTCCACTGCCTTAATGGCCATTGGCTTCAATAATTAACAAGCAAGGAAAAGAAAAACAAATACTGAGCACCAGGCCAGTGGTGCTGGCCTCTGAAGAATCGTTGGTGCAAGGACGCCTTCTCACTGGTGCACTGATCAGTCACACAGCTTATTTCTTTTTCATGTGATGCCTCTTTCTTCCCCAGAAATCTCTCTGCTTTCTAATACCACGATGTCCCTGCATCTCCAGTCAGAGTCCCAGACCTTCATCCCAGCCAGAATCCCTGCCCACCTTCCTGCAGCCCACACTCCTCTCCCTGTGCTTTCTTCTGCCAAATTTCCTGCAGCAGACACCACTCACACACAGTCCCTGCAGTTCGGGTCCCTCCGCTGCCACAAGGGCTCTCCAGCTCCCTGTCCTCTCGGAACCAAAATAGCTGTAAGTTGCTCTTCATAGGAGAATAAATCATCTTAGTATCATGTGGAGATCCTGAAAGATTATATGAACATTTAAAATAATAGTTTAAATGATTAAAATAATTGGTTTTGTCCACAGACAGTTACTTTCTGTTGCTTTGTGTTCTAAGTCGAATAATTCCTTAAGCACTACAGGTACGTAAAAAGTTGAAAAAAATGTATGAAATATCTCTTAAAGGAAGCAAAGAAGCAATATCAAACTACACAAGAAAACTCTGAATAAGGCAAACATCCTGGGGTTATGATAAAGCCAAAAATGACTTAGTTATTCCATCAAGTGAAATTCACTCCTTAGTTTACCTTGAGCTTCCTATATCACCCAAGGACAGGGAATTCATACCTCCTCCTGGAGGTACACTGAAATCCTAACACTCTTATTCCAACAAAGAGGTGCAAAAGCTTTCAGGAGGGTTGTGTCCTGAACATAAACTTCCCAGGCTTTGTCCAAAGCAGAAATCACTGGTGAATAACCCTGAAGCACTGCACTGGATTAAGCTCGAGGACATTTGCAGAGTGCGCAGGCTAAATTGCTTCCAAGTTTGGCTATCTCTGCAGTCACACTGCTCTGGAGCAAGTGAGTTGGGATGCTTTCTGCAGACCGCTGCCATACTCCCTGAGGGGCGATTGTGAGATTTTGCAACAACACTGGGGTACCAAGGGAATTAGATGCGTTGTTTTGGGCAGTTTGCATCCACACTGACCCTAACACAGAGTGGGATGAAAGAATGCACAGAAAATGAAACTAATCTAGACGGTATTAGGCAACACTGTGAATAGTTTAAGCACTTCTACGAAGCACAAGGAAACACAGTAGCGGGATCTGTTTGTTCTTCTGGGGTAAATATCTCCGCTGTAGAAATCCATAACAAACACTCTGTAAAGAGTTATAGCCCTGTGTACTCCAGATGGCCCCTGGCCAACATCACTTACTCTGTAGGAGCCTCGTTGGAGATGTTTTTGGAACCAGTCTTGACTGACTGACACTCATCCTTCTCTCTCCTGCTATAAAAAGGAAGGATACATTTGCCTGCGTGTTGTTTTTAAACAAGCTGCTTTTGATAGTGTTATGGAGGAGAAATAACTGTACACATTATTAATAAGCCACTGAAAATAAGGTAGCATATCTGGAGTGTCTACTTTTCAGCCTGTTCATAACTGGAGGGAAATACTTTTATTGCCATGTTGTCAATTCCAGAATTAGTCCCCAGATTTTGGCTTGGGTTGTTCTTCCTCCAAACCTTCAGAGAAGAGAATTCATGCAGCTATTTTCTGGAAGCAGAGCATGGTCAGAACACAGGACCTGGACCCAAGATACGAAGTACAAGAGACTGAGCAGGCACAGGACAAGATGGTGCACTGCCCTTCTTGAAAGTCTTTCCTTTCCAACCCTGCTTTTAAAGCCACTCCATCATCACATTTCCACACATGTATAAGGCTGCTCCTTCATTTGTGAAAGGGATGAAAAGTCATTAAAGTTCTCGTGATGTTATCTTTGTGCTTCTTCTTTCCCCCATACTAACACCAGTAGGATGCTCAGGACCCAGAAACAGGAAACTCTGTCATGAATTAAATGTGTTTAGGCTTAAATGACTTTAAAGCATCCGGTTCCAATAAAGCTATTGCAGTATTTCAGTTTTATGGTACATACAATTAACATGCACTCTAAGTTCACTGAATGCTTCAATAAACACGACGGTTTGATGGGCTTTCTTCTTCCACCCTAGCAATAGTTTAACTCAGAAGTAGCCATTTCCTCATAAAGGGATATGAGACGTTCAGTCTCTGGGGGTGCAGGTGCATGGGAACACGAGAGAACCTTGTGGAAATCACAGAGCAGCGATTGCTGTTTTGTTCAGGAATTTGTCAGGGCTCCAAAATGAATGCTCAGATGATCAAGCTGCCAAGCAAGAGTGGGTAGAGGAAAAGGGTGAAGTAGGAACTCTGAGCTGCACTACAAAATTCCAGAGTGACATAACAAGTGAGCGTACTGAAGTCCGTATATTTTCAGTAAAGCAGCCACAAAATATGTCTCCTTGAAACTCATTTTCATTGCTGGGCTGCAAATAAACTTTGTCTTCCATGTCTGTCTTTGCAACAGGCTTTTCCTTATGAATATAAAGGGCTGAGGTCCTCCCTCTGCTAGGTGTTTCCTTTCTCATGTGCTGGAGAGCTGTTCCCAGGGCTGTGAAACCAAGAGGGAGATGTGAACAAGGATGGCTGGGGACAGAGCAACAATTAGAGGAGAGCCTCCTAATGAGCTAACAGGCTCACATGGATCTGCTTTCCTACGTATGTTGCTACCTTTAGGCTTGAAAATACTATTTTACAAGGAGATTGGACTACAAACACCTGAGCCAAATTCTTGGCCAGGGCTCAAAAAACACAATCTGGAAAAATAATAATAATAAATAAATAAATAAAGATGCATAGAGAGAGAGTTTTCCTTTATCTACCTGCATTCTCCTGGGAATAGGAAAGCCATTCTGAAGTTTTCTTCTCTAAGCTACTGACACCACACTTCTCCTCCCCTTGCTTTTTTTATTTTTTCTTGAATGATGACAATGCCATTGTCATCATTCAAGAAAAGTTAATTTATCCACCCTGAATTTACTTTCTTTCCAAGACAGTAATTTCAGCAGGCATGGCTTAGAACTGGATCCTCCTGCCAGCACTGCTATTGGTCTGCTGTGACCTTAGGCAAGTTATTTAACCTCTGAATGTCTCAATTTGCCAGTCCGATGAATGGCGATGAAAACTGTTTCATGATAATACACTTTCTTAAAAAGTTATTAAATACCTTGCAATTACTGGATAAAGATTATTTTTAGCTGTTCAGCAGAATTCCTTCTCTTACCAGACATTGTAAGCAGCTACTGCCCAAGCCTGGAGCCCAGACACCTCTTGAAGTGACAAGCTAATTTTCTCAGCAGAACACCACCACCTTATGCACATGTCTCAGCTTTGTGTCCTCCTTTCCCAGACACATGGTCTTTTCTGAATTCATTTCTTAAGCACAGTGAAATACATGTTTCTGGCTGCTGAGCCAGACAGTACTTGTTTCTAGGTCAACCAGCCATGATAGCTGATTTGAAACGGGGGTGAAATAAAAGATTGGCGTATTTAATTTTTTAATGTAACAGTGTTCCATTCATTCCCTCTTTCCAATCATTCACCTTCAGGAATCATCTTTGATTCTGCTTGCTCTTGTGTAATGCTCAAATTACCACCAGCTGATCAAATAGCACAGTTTCTAAGCAGTGACCCCAAATTCTTGGAGAGCCACAGAAGACACAGAAATGTGACCTGACCTGCTTAACCCTGTCTGACCTTCCTTGCCACGCAGTCTGACCTGACCTCACTCCTTTTATTCTTCCCAACACACTTTAATAGAATCCACCGGAGGAAAGCAGTGGGGGGAGAAGTAGTCAGCCTGCCTTAACGTCTTACTTCAGAGAAGTGTTTCCTTAGCTAAACATTATAACTCTCAACAGTGATTTCCAAATTGCTGGAACATTACCTCCCACCTCGCCACTGTAATCAGCTCTTTGCTTGGTACATATTCGAGAGTATTCTTGAGCCACCGTGCCTTTGCCAGCAGCAAATTAGAGCAAACAGAACACATTCCTGCGCAAGAATTTCTCGGTATTGCAGAAAACTTCCTTATTCTGTAGATAAGAATATTTGGGAATTTTACCCATCAGTTTGATAGATGCTGCCACTCTGCTCAGATTTTTTGGGAGAGGACTTGGAGGTTTTGGTTTGTCCTACTGCTATATAATCCTTATCATGATATAAGAATAAGTAACCACAAAGAGTTGCAAGAGCACACCACCCCTGGTAAGAAAGGGCCAGGATTAGCAATAACCACACTACTGGAGTTTAGCCACTGATTCCTCATCACTTACTCCTCTCCCCGTTTCAAAAGCAGAGGTACTTCTGCCTTTCCAGGAGACCTGTATTTGCAGGCAAGCCTGAAAACACAGAGACATAACAGATGTCTCCCTTCCCTTTAAATTTTTGCTTTTCTCTCCACTTACATAATGCTAATTAATTTGGGCTGAAGATAGCAGAAATCTCCTATTCGTTGCTTCCACAGCATACATTCCAGCCTTGCTGCTCTCATAAGCAGTCTGATCAGCATTACTCTGTATGTTCCTGCCAAATGCAGAGTGCTATTTTAACTAAACCCCATGTCTCCCCTTGCCCCCATAACATGAAATATCACTGCTTTTGAATGGATTCAGCGTGGGATAATCATTTACACTAAGAAGTGCAAGTTGGTTTCCAGAATATGCACTCAAAAGCATTTCCCAATCACTATAAAGAAAGTTTTCTGTCTTCCCAAGGAGAACAATCTAAAAAATCAGGCACACACAGAAGTGAAATAAAACCATTGAAATGGAAGGCACCTATGCCAAGGAGCTCCAATGTATGGAAATTCACCTGCATGGTGAGGTTCTACCAGAGGGTGGGGAAGAACCCAAGGGAATATTGAAGATTGCATCTGCAAAAATGGGTTATCTCATGTCACTATGTTGATCTGGAAATCAGGACGATTCTGTAATTTTGGTATCACATGATGTGTGGGAAGAGTTGGCAACACAAAGCTCTAGCTCTCTCCAAACTCAGCTGGCATCAGGAAGACCATGCCTGGTTGGCAAAATGGATGCTATAAAAAACCAAGAGCACCCTGACCAGAGACTCCATCACACCCAGAAGAACAACGCTGGACTGAAAGAACCCAACACCCAAAGCTGGAGTCAGCATTGTGAAAAGCCAAGCTAATTTTTAACAGTCCTCATAAAGGGAGGTTTGGAATACAATATCGGTGTCCCAGCAGACTTAGAAATGGACTATTTTTTTTAAGAGCATGAAAAAGCAGACTTTGCTAACCAAAAGACTCCTCTTGTAGGGTGATGAGTTCCAGCTCTCAAGACTTTCACAACATTTCTTCCAATAGCTCCATAACGAAAAAGGAAAAAGTCATGGTGCTGGGCTGGATACCTCATTCTGCAATTTCTAACACGCACCACATCAAGTTTGCCTTGCAACATTTCTAACATCAAGGTAGTCTACAGATCCCTGTATTACCAAGAGCCTAGACATCTGTTTGACAACTGTGTGCTGCCTCCTCTTTTTTCTTCCTGCTCGCTTGTTTCATACTATAAATCCTTCAAGATAGACTCTCTGTTTTTGTTGTTTGGAAAACACATGTCACAGACATAATAACTCCACCACTGCCATCGTGCCACATCACCATGGCTTACTTCTTCAGCTTTTCACCACCAGGAAAAAAAACAGGTCAAAGTATGTATTTTATATATGAGTAGAAACTTTGATTCAAGAGCCTCACCCTAGCTGCACACATCATGCAAAGAGCCCATTGTAGTGAAGGACAAAATCTTACTCAAGACAAGACCTGAGCTGGAAACCAGAATCTGGAAGGGGAGCTGTAACAAGTCAGATGTGATATGCACTGACATAACTTCTCAGGGAAGCCTGCACAGTAAACTCTTCCTCAGTGCCTGCCAAAGGCCAGTGTCATCACTCCTCATGTTAATCTAGGAGCCCACAAAATAGTTACTCTTAATATTAATTATTTTTATTGAGGATTATTCTGAATCAGCCATCAGGTAATGTATAAGTTCCTGAATTGTCTTCATAATGCTCATTTTTTCTTTGCATCTATTGAGATATCCCTTAATGAGCCTAAGAAAGTATGATTGAATATTGGCACAGGAAGAGAACTTATGCAATGAATTACCTCCAGCGAAGGCCTGAGTCTGCTCCTTTTAGCATGCCTCTGCTAATCCAGTGTGCAAGACGTGCAGACCTGGGGATGAGCACACAGCTATGCCACTGTGTTAGCAAAGATCCCCTGTTGGACTGGATGAGAGAATGGAGAGGTTTTGTTATTTTTGATGGTTACAGAAAAGTACCTGGTAAACAGTACACATCCTATCAGCAGTGCAGAAGAAAGACATCAAACATGCAGAGAAACGGCAGAGAAGAATCTATAGAAAGCGGTGGAAAAGTATAGGCAGAAATAAACACAGATAGTATTTCCCAGAGTTTGATCAAGATTTCTTCACGCTGTGTTGTTTGGTCACTCTTTTCACGCCCAGATATTCCCAGTGTTTACACCTCAGGCTCATTTCGTACTTGTTCCTGCCTTCCTTTCCTGTTTATTGCCTTTTCCTACCTCTGATCTAATTCCAGAGTCTCCTATCCAAAAAAGTCATGAGCAAGCATGACTTTTTTTTTGCTGGCCTTACCTTCCCTGTTCATTTTATTTTTAACCATTTGACTTCGTATCAACTGCAGGCTCCTTGGGAAAGACTCCTGTTTTGATTTCATTCAGGGGGCCCAGCTGTGGACTGCTCAGTGCCCCTTCACTATAGCAAATATGTGTCATTAATTAAATACATTCTCAGCACTTCAAATGTTAATAGCACAGGAAAATCCTGTTTGAAATTTCAGGAAAAGAACCTGACCATCCTTGACTACAGATCTGCTTAGTTTGATTGCTCTTAGTCCTACTTCCCCACTTTTATACTTTTTATACTTTTATAACAAAAACTACAGCAGGTATTTCCTGAAGATATTTGCTTTCTCTGCTTCAATGCCTTCCTTGGCAATTTATGATCTTCCGTGCAATATGTTTTTTCCTATTTATTCCCGGTTTCCAAAAAAATATATACATATATATAAACCTTCCTCCATTTATTTTTGTGTCAAAAGCCAGCCTAAATCCCTAAGTCTCAGCTTTCCAGAGTGAGATTTATTTGTCCTGACCCAGGCACCTCTGTCAGGGTGATACAAGGAAGACATCTAAGTTAGATCAAATGACTCTCCCTCTGGAATTGCCCTCTAGCCTTCCCAGACTGCAGGCAGAGCTCCTGGGTTATTGCTCAAGATGGATGCCAAAGCCCTGAGTTACCCAAGTGAAGTCCTCCTTAGCACCCCAAGAACAAGGCAGACAGCGAGGACAAGGACTCTCCATTTTCTGATGCTCGTGACCCAGAGTCAGACTCAAAGCGAAGAAAGGCACTTCCAGGATCTGCAACCTGGCAGCCCCTCTGCTGGACAGGCTCCTCCACCCAATTTGGTTTAAAATCCCAGAATCAGAACAGTTTGGGTTGGAAGGGACCTCAGACCATCCCATTCCTGCCCCCTGCCATGGCAGGGATGCCACACACTAGATCAGGCTGCCCAGGGCCCCATCCAGCCTGGCCCTGAGCACCTCCAAGGATGGGGCATCCACAGCTTCTCTGGGCAACCTGTGCCAGGGCTTCACCACCCTCCGAGTACAGAGTTTATGTCATCTAATCTAGATCTCCTCTCTTTTAGAGTTTTGAAGCTTTTTAATGAAGCAGAGATGACTTTCAGTTCATAACAACACTCAGGAGCTCTGACAGGTAGAACTTACCTTTCTTACAGTAGCCAGCCCCTGCTGCACCTCTGTACAGAAATAATTTGGGATTTATTTGTCCAGAAAGGGCCAGCCTTTTTGTGCATCCTACTCATCCTACTCACCTGGAAAAAGGAGTTTTAAGCTCTGATCCCTGCTTCCAGGACTGTTCTCCAAGTTCACATCAGCCAGTTAGTGAATAGTTTATAAAATCTCTTATCATATCTAGCCCTAGGGAGCAAATTCGCATAGCTTCTAGTTTACTGAAGTCCCTGTACTTACAGATCCTGAGGCTATCTTTAGACAGTTGTTCCCTCACAGCCTCCATGGACCTTTTGAATCTTCTCACAAGTGCTTGTCTCTTTGCAGTAAATAGACATGGGAGCAGAGATGAAAATTATTCTGCTTGAATCATTAAACGGTTTGGCCTCGATACCCTGCAGACAGCTTCCCTCTGCAGGAGCAGTATCCAAGGCTGGTAGCAAATTACACAAATAACCCAGTCAGTTTGGGGAAATTCATCCCTTGTTTTAGACCATCATCGTGCCCCAAAAGAACAGTCATCCCCTCACATTCAAGATGAGGCAACCAGAGGAGAAGAGGAGGATGCATTTTCTTTCTCCATCAACTCTAGTATTTCATCCCCTGTTTCTGCTTGCATATATGTGAATAAACCTAACAGTATAAGCTCTGAGAACGCTTTACACTGCGGTGTACTCCTTTCTAGAGCTGAAACTGATAGATACAGAGAGTTGCAGTATAGTGTTAAAAAGTGATCAGACTGTTCAGGATAGTCAGAGCTGGGCACTCCTTGTACCTGAAGCTGCAGAGGGAATCCAGGCAGGCAAAGCCCAAGAACTGGAACCTGGCCAGCCAACAGTTCTCATCTCTTGCAGAAAGTGCTAACATGCAACGGGAGGTCAGAGCTACAGCCTTAAATCTCACCAAAAAAAAAAAAAATGTCTCTTTCAGCACAAGTCTCCCTAACACACCAGCAAGAAGTGCTGCCTATCTGGTCCCATTATGCAATTCCTATTGCTCTTGCTTTGCCACTCGTACTCCCACGCCAGAACAGCACACACTGCTGGCACCAGCTGAGTTAAGATCTGCCCTTCGCAGGCTCCTGTGGTGTTCGCAGCACACAGGCAAAGATTTCAGGAGCAGTGCTGTAAAATGGAGGGTCAGTCTGTCAGGTGGAGGACGTCGTGCCGATTCCACCCCATACCGATCCGATGTGTAATTAGAGAACAGGGCTTGAGGCAGTGCTGGTCACAAAGAACCCAGTGCATAAGGCTTTCTTCAACGATGAAATTTCCTCCTTACCAAAGCTCACAAATAACTTTTTAAACCTTAAGCAAATAAATTGGCCATTTTTCTTGTCATACAGAACCAGTTTTTCTCAGCATTAAGCTACGGTGGCTCAGCTCATACAAAAATCTTGGGTTTGTACTGCTCTGATTCACAGGTTGCCAATGGGGAAAGAGAAGGAGGACGTTCAACTTTTTGTGTTAGCATGCACGGCACACTTGATCTGTGCCTGCGGTGATCCTGGCACCGTCAGGTATTTCTGATCTGTGGGACAGCCCCCTGAGCAGGTATCTTGCAGCACTCCCCTCAGCCTGACACAGGAGGTACAAAGCTCATTACTAACAACCAGGCAGCTGTTTTTAAAAGACACCACAGCAGACATACGTGGTGCCTCCACAGCCATTCAGTAAGCCTCTATCAGAGCTGGGAACCCATTCTGGGTCACCCAGAAGTCTTAGGCAGCAGCCAGACCATCCTTCCCCCAGCTTCCCGCAAAGCACTTATTGTATCCTCAAAAAATAAAAAAAATAAATTATTAAAAAGCAAAACATGTCTCAGAGTTTAACAGCCATGAAGGGGAATGTTCAGCCACAAAAGGTGTATTTTTAATAATTAATTTCTGCTTTATTTAGCACAGAAGCAACTGTCTTAAATCCTTGTAAGCGAGTTCTCTGAAAAGAGCCACTCAAAGAAAGTGGCATATAAACATTGTCATAGGAAGAAGAAAAGTAAAGAGTTCTATAAAAGCCTAACCTGAATACAATTGGGAAAAGGCTAAAAGGCTGGTGTGTTGTTGTTTTTTTTTTAACCACATTCACATTTTCTTCTCAGTTCCATACCCTGGATGCAACCTCTATGGATTTATCCCACTCCGTGCCACCATTTCCACCACCTGGAAATGTTCTCTGGGCAGCACTGCCGGGAGCCACCAGGCCTGCCTACCTTGGCCACCTCTCCTGACCACGCTGCGACCGCCCTGCTCCTCAGCATCCCTTCCTCTCTCTCCTGCTTCTCACACTGCCACCACCACTGCTGGGCTCTGCTGGGCAGCTACAAGAGAGAAAAAAAACCGAGTTATTTGGCTGAAGGCAGAGCAGGCAGCAGAAGTCGGCAGAGTCAGGTCTGCTGCAGGAAGTTGGAGGGGCGAGAGTGGGGTAGGGTGCACAATAAATAGCATAGAAAGAGGAAGAAAACTTATTTTTCTTGATTACTTTCCAATGCACTAATAAAACCTGCTTACTTCATTTACTCCTGAGAGAAATAACATCTCAGATGTGTTTTGCAACCCAGTTACCATAATGCCACGTTAGTGCAGGGGACTAAGAAAGTGGAAACATGTTAAAAGAAAAGACTGATCAGGCTGTCCGGCTCCATTAACCAGCTCACTGCCTAAACTAGACGATTACAAAGGAGAAATAAACTGCATTAGCTACAGATTTGTAGCGATAATTTAATTTTTGTACCAGCTTGATGCACAGCTACGGATTGCCGGTGTCTATTGCTGGGTACTGCACCTTTTTAGTTTCTCAGAGCTTTGGCTGGGCCTGGAAGCCCCAAAACCTTTTTGTTTCAAGGGTTGCCCTGAACTAAGAGTGAAGATGCACACCCGGTGCTCTCATATGGAGACACGGTGCTCGTTTACTGCAGGCCATGCCAACCTAAAATGGAAAAACACACTCCATAAATAGTAAATTCTTTGAGCCCCCCCAAAAAAATTAAAAAAAAAAAAAGACCAAAAATGTAAACGTGTATTTTCAGGGGTCAGAGTCCCCTACGATAGATTCTCTCATTCGTGAGCCTGGAAGTTACTGCTGACCTTCAAGCTAAAGGATGTTAAGGCAGGAGTGGAGCCATAAAGTGGGATTTACAGTCCAGGGTAGGTGCATTCCTTTCAACCTGCAATTTAATCTCAGCTTTCTTTGAAATAGTTTTATGGCATCTTTGAGTAATTTTATTTGCTTAACCAATCTTCAGAATCTATTTCTGAGGCATGTTTTCTAGTACATTTTCAATTATTTTGAAATCATTAGTTATCTCTTTGCTCTCAAAACCAATTCAGATTTCCACATAGACGATAATAAGGTGGAAAAAGTATTGACAAAATCAAGATGCCCCTCCACACAGGAAAGCTGAAGACCTGTAACTATGCTTTACTATGTAGAAAAAAAAAAAAAAGTTGGCTACTCCCTCCATATGTTGTTCTTTCTCAAGAGCAGCTTAGTAGCTGATATAAAAGGCATGTTGCAAATCAAGCTCAAGGTGCACATGACAGACGTGGGACTGGAATAACAAGGATATCACAGTCTAGGATTCAGATATAAAAGCAGAAGCTGTATGAGAACCATCATCCAGGATTATAAGGAATGAAAAATGTTTGCAGAACTGCAGGCAGCGTTGCAAGCAGAATTAATACTTGGAAAGGCAGAATTTGAGAGCTGCAGACCAACTCGCAGAACGGCATGAGGAGTTTAAGCCTGCTGCAGCCATCCTGTTTCACTAGGTACCCATAAATACAATAACCATAATCTTTTCCTTTGACTGGTCACCTCGTTTGTGGCAGTTGTAAAAGAAGAGGCATGACTAGCTGCAAAGGGGAGTTTTACATATGAGATAATTCTGCTCATGAGAAATAAATTAGAAACATTTGGAAAATAGGGTGTGTAAGTTATTACTGCCTGAGGGCAGCAGGAAATTATGAGAATAATAGTGTATGCATGTCTTTTGCCATTATTTACCTTGGCATTCAATAAGCCATGTGCAGTTGCCAGAGCAACTTCCACAGCACATGGTACAAAAGCTGTATGTACACGCTGCTCCCTCGCACAGACACCCCCAAACCTTGAAACAGGGCGACTTTCAGAAGGAACCTGGAGAGAGCCTGCCTCACTAGAGGTCTTCCTCGGTTTTGGAGTAAATAAATAACTTTAGGGAATCCAGCTTTCAGCTGAAAAACTGTTCACTGCAGACCCTATACTGAAACCTACACAGAGCCTTTAGCTGGAGCCAGAGTATGGCCATGGTGCCCCAGGAAAGATGCATTATCAACACTCTGCTAGCAAATGTTTTCCAGCAGTACCTGTCAGAAGTGAATCCGACGTTGGATATTGAATTCTCGGGGAATCTGGCTTCAGTTTGGACAGCCCCTCACGTCCTCTGCTCTCAGACACCGATGACCTAGGCATTGTCAGAGACCAAAACAGAAAAGAAACTGGAAATCATAAAGAGGGGAAAAGCCTGAGCAATCGAGGCAAGGGGCAGAGCTGAAGTGAGGAGCCCCAGGCTTGCTCTCAACGTCAGGCACCAAAGGACCTGGCACTTCACACTGAAGGCCAGCAGCTGGTTATTAAATTGCTAAGGTAACCAAAGGGATGATCACCACACAACTCATTTTTCATTAACTTATTTAGAAGAGTTGCAGAGAAGAAAAAAAAATATGATGTAGACACGAGACCCTTCCCAAACTTACAAGACGCATACATAATATCTCAAGTTGTCTTTACATAGTACCTGGGCACCAGCAAACTGGTCATGCAGGACAATGCTGCTCTGCAGAGGAACTTCAGAACAAGAGACAAAACCAAGGAAAGATATTAAAAATTAAGTGGGATGCAAGCAGCAAGGCCAAAAGGGAAGGAAGGAGCCAACAAAATCAGTCGCTAGAAATGTTGGTTTTATAACTACTAATTGTATGGGGGTTTTTTGAGGTGGTCTTAGGAAAAGAAAACGCCTTAAGCTGTGAATGGGTTTTATGGTTGTGGATTAAATATCTAACAATACTTAGTGGGTGTACACTGCTGTGCAAAAGGAGACTAACAATTGCAATGCTGCAGTCTCTCTGGTTGTTTACTCTACCATTTACTGAATTGTGGGTTAACGCAAATGGGAGGCATTCAGAGCACATGTGTTTAGGAAAGAACAGCAGAAGATCAGAGCTCTGTAACCTGAAATGACAATGAGATGAGTTACAAGCCTCAGCACAGCATGCTGGATATGAAGTACAGGGGAAGAGGGAACACCAGGGTAGTCCAGCACAGAGTCTGCTAGAGAACAGGGCTTCAGCATCGGTGTGGTGCCAGCGCTGCTGCAGAGCAAGGGTTGTGCACAGGGCCCCTCTGGAAACCTGCATTGGCTTGATAAAACTAGGACAAACCGCAACGTTGTGAAGTTACATCCAATGGAGAAAAATCTCTTCCTTTTCTCTTATAAATAATACCACATAGCGAGGTTATCCTCAGAGTCACATCATTTATTCTAATGAAAACATTCAGATTCTGAAAAGAAAAAGGGACACAGTGTTAAAGATGAGCAGGAGACCAGTGAAAGAGACAAATTAGTTATTGCCAGAATTTTTCATTAGTTATTCTCACACACAGTAAAGTTCTCTTTCCCTGTGCTCTCTGAAATTTATTCCTCATTTTGTGTTTGACCCTAGGATCTCAAAGTAGTTTAGAAAAATTAGCCAGTGGAAAAGCTGCTGGAAGACAATAATATAAATAAATGACTTGGGTTAGGGGTTTTATTTGTGTGTGTGTGTGTGCGTGTGTGAAAAACAGTGAATTTTCAGAATTCATGTGTGGTATTTGATTTTTTCCTTTTCCTGTTGCTTACAACAAAAGCTGTTGTATATGGGTAAGTGCTAGTGCTTTGTCCACTCTCTAGATCTTGTAATGAATCTCAGTTTTATAACTTCTTCTTAAAGCCCCAGTTTCTCTGGCCACAAGACTGTCCAAGAACCTTTGTTTCATGAGAAGGAACTGTAAGTATATTTGTTTTTTTTTTCATTTGTGGAGAACAGTGGAAAAAAATAAAAGAAAAGAAAAAGAACCACGGTTTCATTAATCTCATGTGGGGTTTTGTTGTTGATGTTGTTTTGGTTTGGTTTGGTTTGTTTGTTTTTATAATATTTTTTTTAAATGTCCTGGTAGAAGATTTTTGATTGCTTGAGGTTGAAGTATGGATATTAGCTTATGCATGGTCATGTCTGACACATACAGGGGTATACGTGAATGCTCCTACCCAAGCTACAGCGTTTGCCACAATTCAGTTTAAAAAGTATCACTTGGGAAACACACAAAGCATTATGTAACTTCAGGGGCCTGACAAAGTGCAAAAAAAAAACAAACCAGCATTCCACAAAACAGCCCATATGCCAAAAGCTGCGGGCACAGAGCAATGAATGGGGAGATGTGCAATAGCTGGAATTCGTTCTTAGGAAGAGACAAACCCACAACAAGTAATTCTGCAAGCTGGGGGAACTTCTGGAGTGGTTCTGTGGCAGCTTCGCTCATCTAAGAAATACCGAGCATAGGTGACTTTCACTGACCTCAGTGGAACTGAGCACCAAGAAACCTTCTCCAGTTTGGTCTGTGAGCACTGAAAGCATGAAAGTGGCCCCAAATATTCTGGAAAAGTCTTACCTTCCTCTTTAGAAATGGCAGGATCTCTCCCCGATGGACTCTTTAGGTACATACCAACAGCTTTCAGATAGGAAGAACAAAACCAAGATATCGCAGACACCTTTCTCCTCTGCCTGCAGAAAGGCAGCCTCACAGGCCAGTTGAACAGAGTCTGCTTGCCACAGATAAGCCAGCCTGTGACTTTGTTTCTTCATTTATAAAGTGAAGAGAGTACACATTGACTCTGCAGGATTCCCAGCACATTCCTATAGGAGCTCTGAGATCGTCTGAGCAGGGCATTACAGTCCCAGGACTGCAGCCCCAGGCTCTTCACTTGCAGAGCGAAGGATTTCCTTGCACCAGTCACCTCCTGTTGAGCTCCTTCAGAAAAGGCTCCAGAAAGGTGGTGTCAGAGGATTTCACTAATAAAATCTCCTGCCTTTTTTCAGCAGTCAAGCTGATGCTAGAGTGCTTCTAAGCTGCTTCCTAAGCTGCTTCTGTGAACTTGCAGTGAAACTGATGTTTCATTTCTCTGTCCGAATACCTGCTATGAGCAGAGTCGGGCTTGGCTGTCAGAGTTTTAGCGACCCCAGTTGGAAGATGCCTCTCGTAAAGGCCCATCCATACTTCAGGATGCCTTCAGGCAGAGGCAGCTTCAGAAGAGGTCACTTGCACCAAGGTGTGCAGATGGGAGCTCTGAGAAAAGCCCGGAGGCATCGTGTGGTAACACTGGTACCTACAACAGACCTGCTTGTAGTCTTCTGCTTGCCTTGCGAGTCTGCATTGATACATATAATACAGAATCATGTCAGAGAAGCAAAGAAGTTGAAAACTTTCCTTTCATTTTACAGTCTAACAACAGCCTTGTTAAACTGAGGCAGATTTGAAGCAAAGTCGAACTGACAGCCTCTCTGGAAGGAGCCGAGTAGCAGGGATGTGATGCTCAGCAGGCTCGTCCCAAGCTGCAGGAACACCGTGGGGCTCCTGCGCCCTCCGAGGCAGAAATTACCCTCCACACACCGAGCAAAATCAATGAAAATGCTGCAGGGGCCTGGGGCTGCCAGCTGAGAAACACTCAGAAGTGCTATTTACTGACAGAAAGGGGACATTTTACTGCCTCTAACCTGCAACTAAGGAGGCACACAGGGCTGCTGGTGGAGCCACGCAGCGCAAGGGGAGGGAGCACAGCATCAGCTGCTTCCTATACAGCCCGGAGGAGTTTACCTGCCGGCACAGCCCCTGCTAAAACCAAGTGAGGAAGGAACAGCTAATGGACTTGATGCTCATCTCACATGGCTACTGTGCCTTTACCAAGCCAATACAGAGCTATTCCTGTTGAAATCAACAGAGATAAAGATTGGTGGCTCAGTGGGGAGAGCTGGTGGAGAGCTTTGGCTGGCAGATGGTAGTATTCAGCAAAGGAGAGCTGGTCAGCCCCATAAATTTTCTTCTCTTGCACACATAGTAGTACTTCTGAACAGATTCCTTGCAATTGTCCATGAAGGGAAGGACCTACTATTCACTAGACGTAGGGACTAAGGCAAAATCCTGATGTTGCCCAGTGGGCTGAACTGAATGTAGTGCAAGCAGCTGCAGCCACAACTGAATCTCTCAGGCATGTTGTTTGGGATCACATTCTGTCACTTGCTTTCTCATCTTACCCCTCTCCATGCAGAGGAAGACCTGTCTTTTTCCTCTCCTTCTTCTGAAGTAGTATTCAGTGATCACACACTCACACACATTACAGAGTAGCAGACAGAAGTGGAGAGTAGGCAGGCACTGGCAAGCTTCCCGCAGTCTTCTGGTGTGATTCATGTTCCTGTACTCTGACCTGGAAATCCTAGCGTTCATTCCCCTTTCACAGAAGAGAAGCAGTAAGATAAGGAAGAAAATGTCTAGACTAATTTTACCCAAATTAAATCTAAGGCAAGGTTTCCACTATATCGTACTTGTGTTTTCCTCCCTAGACCCATGTCATCCTGATTGCTGTGATGCGGAAAAAAGGATTATTTTGGATATTCAGATGTGTAAAAGCCAGACCACGGTGAAGAATTTAAGGTGGAGTAAATGGAACAAATTCCGTTTAAGACAGCACAGAACACATTAGACTACAACAACCAAGATAGTTGTAGCACAGATATATATATACAAACATCACATTTTGGAAGCTGGTCTTGCCTTGCAGTATTTTGTATTTTCCACGAAGATCCAGCTCCTGGAATCAGACAATTACAAAGCAGTCATCACTGTCAAATAAGAGAGTTTCTGAAGTGTGTAGAAGAGTCTGGAAAACAGAATCCTTAAGGGCATCTAGTAAGCAGAAAGAAGCCAGGACAATATCTTTGCTTCTGGGATCTGATTTATAACTTTTGTGCACTTTGAACGTTCCATAGTCATATAAAAGAAACATATAAGTCAGATGGAGTTCTTCTCCCTTAAAAATTTGAGATATAAAATAGTATGAAGGAGTGAAACTTCAGTGCTCTAAGTCTTTCCTGCAACAGTTTTAAGCTAAAATGTTCAGCACTTTCCAAAATTCATTCCTACATGCACACAGGGTGCATAAAACTTCTTTTTATTTCTATGCATATTGAATTCAAGCTCTCAGCTGACAATGTAGAAACACATAACCTCGGTCAATATTAATGTATTTTAATTACATATAACATAATACTAACTACACCAACTAGCATTGGAAATCATGTGTCCAAACATCCATGCATTATCAAGCAAAGCACCATAAAAATTAAGATTTATAACATTCTCACAAAAACAAGCCGAGCAACAATAGCATTAGGAGGTAATAATTTAGATGGGTACACCATGAAATTTCATGGAACTAACGGGAACAAAAAGCTCGACTTGAAAACAATGTCAGTGCTGCTTTTCTGTAAGAATTCCTTTGTTTCCTCACCCCATATGAACTACTGCATATGGCAGAACCCCCTGTCCCCTAACAGGATTCCTGTCTTCAGTACTGCTTCAGCCCATGAATCCATTGTGTCCCATCTCCCTCCATGTCTCAGGGCTGTACCAGACCTTAATCTCTTATTCTTGCACCCACATTCATGGTGGTTCTCTTCTCTTTGACGAAAAACCCAATACAGAATCCAAGGGATGCATATTAATGATCAGGAAGAAACAAGTATAACCTTCTCTCCTTAACAGAACCAAACAATTACGCTTGTGCTCATCATGAAGAAAGAGGAAATTGCAGACAGCCACGGGGCATGGAGTGCTTGAATCACCCCAGCTGTTTTCTAATTCTAAGATGAAAGTTTTCAAACCTTTCCCGTTTTAGAATAGTGGCAAAAATGATGGCATGCAGCCACGGGCTGAGAATCACTGCCCCACCCCACAGATGAAAAGCCTGAACATTTACCTCCAGTTTCCTTCTTCAGAAGACAAGACTTTTGTGGGGAAGGGAGGGAATTTAAAATTAAAGTTCCCTGGGGTTGTCTCAGGTATCCTTGTCCTTTGAACAGCAGGGAGATCAATCTGCAGCGCAATGCATAGGCATGCAGCACATACTAATGACTTCCCATACCACACAATTTACTGTTCTCACTTCTTGATAGCAAGGTTTAGCTTTAGTCCTTCTCTGGTAAGTGAACTTTCACAAATCTTCTGTTGACAGTCATATTCCTCTGTGCAGGAAAGAGGGGTTGTCTTCACTGCGAGGATTTGGTAGGCAAAGAAGACCAGAACTTTGTATCTGCTAACGCAAATGTGAAGCTGGGGGACAAGTAGAGGGCTGCTCACGGTGTGAACTATTGGGATGAACTACATGATGAGATACTGCCATGGGTGTGCTTCTCGTTTCTCCTGTTTCTCATCTTTATATTTAATCCTGGGATTTAAACCCCAGCCACTTCTGCCAACATCCTGCAAGTAATTTTGTACAATAGGAGCACATCAGTAGATCAAAGCACACACTAAATGCAATTCCGGAGTTTAGCTTTGGACTACATTTAGCATAGTTCTATGGACCAAGTACTCCTGTCACATATTTGGTTCAGGAATATCTGTAAGAATAATCTTTCTTTTGGATCTTTGTATCCCTGCTGGGGTTGTGCTGTTCCTGGAGCGGAGCTTTTGTGTGGTGACTCCTACAGAACCTGGTTAATGCATTCCAAAACCACTCCGATGCACGGCAAGTAGACACGATATGGGGACTTGCTTCCAAACTGCACTATTGTTCCATATCAAAACACTAATTCAGGCAAAGCCTCTTTCAGATGAAAAATAATCATTGATGCAGGGTCTCAGGCAAGTGGGATTCTGATAAGGGTTCATTACAATACCTACAACCACTACAGTGAGTACTGGAAGCTCTGTATCTTCCAACATGTAGCCATCCTTAATTTACTTAAGTCCCCAGCAAATCTTTCCCCAAACACAGGAAAGCCTCAGATTACATTCAGTGGAAAGATGGAGGGCTTATGGTAAGCCTATGTCTGAACAAATCGTATCATTTTCCTGAACACACCGTATCCCTTGTCTCAACAACGGGAAGAAACATTATTGTTTTGAAAAGTATTTGGTTATGTTCCCATGCTGTGCATAGGACATAAGGACTCAAAATTATTACAGCCTAGGCTGTGGTTGATAAATATCACCTTTAGTAATCTGTATTACATTGAGTGTGGATATGACACACTAAGCTGCCACAAAAGCAGTGATTATCCATTGTAAGGATAATGAGAGATGGAGGTGAAGGAGAACTGTAGTTCTTCTTCCATAATATTGGTGGGTCAAGAAGCTGTCTCTGCTTCCACAGCGTAACTGACCTGATCAGAACTTTCCCTGGGCTTCCAGTGCAGCAGGCCTGCTAGAATCCTACCCAAGTCCATACCTTTAGTCCCTGAATATGAGGAATAACAGCCGTACTGCAAGATGAAGAGCTGAATATACAGATTTTGAGAAAGGTACCAAAGCCCAAAGCCCATTTTGTGACCCACTCAGCAAAGATGCTGAATCCATGAAGGAGCTGGCAGAACTTAGGAACTGAGTCCCCACTGGCTGTGTTTCTAGAACTCATTTGTTGGTTGTGCTTTTTTGTTTTGTTTTGGTTTTTGTACAAATTTACACATATCACAGTACAGATATTACCAGGAGAGCAGAAGCTCCTTCCTTGGCAAAAATCTTCTTTGAGGTTTGTAAAAGGTTGTCAATCTGAAGAGAAGATTTAAACCCATTACCATTTTTCACCATAAGAACACAAAGAATTCCAACCTAGAGAAAAAAAAAAAAAAAAGAAAAAAAAAGAAAAAAAAAGATTATAACATGATATCTGCCCCTAAGAGCACCCAATACCAGCTAAACAGCATAACCTACATAGCTCAGGCTATCTTAGTGATCCTTCAGGATTTTGTACTGCTTAGCATTCTCCCTCTAGCAGCAGCTCTCAAACCACTGAAGGGCAGCAGTCTGGTTTAACACTGGCCTTGCTTAACTGGCTGCATTTGTCAGACATCCCCCACTCGGGTGAAATGAGATGAGATCCTGGATAAGAGCCTTTCAGGACAATTCCTTTCCACTCACCCTTGCTTGCCGCCTACAGATCTGCCTTCGGCAAAGATCTTTTCTGTATTTCTCCTGTCCAACCAAATCAGACACCCTGAGCTCAACGCTCTCTCTTTTTATCCTTCCACATCACACAGGGAAATGGGGAAGTGCCAAGGGGGCAAAGGAATTAGAATACTTTCTTCTATTGCATAGATTAAAAACAAAGGGGAAGAGGGGATGTTCTGCTGCTCTGAGCATATTTTTTTTTCAATCCCTTCATAAACCCCACCTATTTTTTTCACAAATTTAAGAGTCTTTTTTTTCACCTATAAGAAACTCCCACCCACTGTAATCTGTTATTTCTCGTGCATCCAGGTTTTCCATACAAAATGCTCCCCGGGTCTGAACTCCACTACTTCATTTACTTTTACATTTACATTACCTCATTTTCTTCATTTACTTCATTACCCCCTTTGGCACACCAGGAAAAGCATCCCTTTTCTTCAGGTCAGCGATCCAGTGCTACACTTTTTTTTTCCCTAAGAAAATCCCAAACATGTTTCTTTCATGTATCCTTCAATTGCTGACTGACAATTACTACTCCCACTCTTGAATATCAGCCTATTTATTCCTTGCATGTTGTACACAGGATGAGACTGTAAATTCCTCCAGGCAGGCATCTGCTTAACCTACGTGTTCTAAAAAAAATGTAGATTGGGTCAGACTGATTTTTCAGGTGAGGGGGAGTCAGGCGGAAAGAAAGGAGCCCTAGGATAAGGGAAAAAAGGAAAAACAAAGAGCAGTGGAATGAAGGGAAGAAAGGATAAATGAAAAGGGTTGCTGAAGAGTGGGAACAGAGAGGGAGCTAATATATTTGATGAAAATGCAACATTAGCAAGCACAGTGTGATTTGACAAGTGTGAACAAGCCCACACCAATGTTAAAAAGCACTACATCTGGCAATGTGTCAATGTTTAAGGCAGCACTTTGCTTCTCCTTCCCATGCTGGGTTTCTGCATCCTTGATATTCCCTCAGATCCACTTCTAAGCTGCTTAGGTCTATGGGAATACATTTTAGAGGTGGATTGGACAGGGAACAGATATAAATCAGTAGTAATTAAAGGTACTATCATTCTCTCCCTCCCCAGGTTACCTCGTTATAAAAGAAAAGATCAGCAAAACATTTCAAAACACTGATATACACCCAAACGCAGGGAATCATTTAAAACAGAAATGTTGGGGTTAACCATATGGCGTTTAACCTACCTATCCCCTTGTGGATATTACTTTTACTCCAGCAAATATATGGCAATGAGATCACTTGTCTTTCGGAATATTGCAACAGTTCTGGGGCACTAAATTCAGCAGCTGCAGAATCTTAACTAGAGCAGGATACATATGTGAAAGGAATTTTTAAAATTTCCTCTAACAACTTTCTTTGGGGACCCACGTTCATATTTTTTCGTAAGGAAAGCTAGGCTGTCCCCCTGCTACTCTGATTAATTCTGTACGTAGATCTGCATACAGATTTGACTGCAAGACCTATCAGTACATTTTATCTGTATGGTTATACACACGTCATACACACTTGCTATTTTCACGGATATAAAACCACGAGATATGTTAACAGTTAGTTTTTAGCAGGTTTATCCCATGTTGTTTTAGACAGGGTTTAAACATTCTACATTTAAACGTACTCAATCACCTTTTGTTCCTTTTTTACCCACAGGGGCATTGGTGGGAATTCCCTTGTTGCAGAACAGCTCCTATCCCGGTATGATCTAGAGAGCTCTGTATTTAATGACATGAACTACCAAATTGCTCACGGCCTTTGATTTTGATTATGGAAGCAAAATATGATTCCTTGATAGTTCAGTCTGCATGAATTGCACTCAATATTGTACATCATCAATTTAAAATAACCTAAATCACAGCAATACAAACTTCCTATTACTTATCTCTCTTTTGCTCCGGTACAGCTCATACAAGCAGACTGTTGTTTATTCTCATATGGTAAAGCATTTGGAAGCTATCTGTCATTTGGAGGGGGTAGGCAAGAAAGGAAATCCCCAAGATTTTGCATGTAGGGACAAATTCAGTCCTGGATTAACAGGTGCAACAGTTGTTGGTTTTGCCAGATTTATTCTAGTCTTGCAGGACAGAGCTATCATGGGCCGAGTAGAACAGATTTATAATTTAGATAAAAAATAATTTCTTTATACTTTGCATTCTGTGTCCTGTGCTGCTACAGAACTCTTCAGAATTCTTTCCTGTTAGACAATAAAATGGTTCTTGTGGCAACGCCATCTGATGTCACAGAAATGAGGAGTGTGAGGTCATAAATCCTTCAGATTTAAAAATAAAATCACAAAAGATGTCCCGAACTTTATGTATCTGTGATTTGGGGTTAATATTGGCTTCTTTATTCACTCTCTTTCCTTTTTTTTTTAATAATAATAATGTAAAAAAAAAAAAAAAAAAAAAAAAACAGTGGAAAGATTTGTCCCAGGAATTTCCTGTTGGCTGTTGTCCAGAAAACAGAGAATACCAGCAGTAATGTGAACAATGCAAGTTCCTCCTAGGCCTGCTTGAAGAAAGCTTCCAAGTCCTCCTATAACTTGGCTGAAATATGACAGAGCTTTGGGGAGGTTGCTGTGCTCCACAGCCAGAGGTTTGTGCAGCAACATTTCAGCTTCTCTCCTGCTCCTTCCCCCTTCTCCAGGCTCCAAGTTCCAGGAATCCAACAGTTCGTGTGACCGAAATAAACATCTGACTTCTGCACAGCGAGGAATACTTCCACCGACTTGCTTTGCAAGGGGAAAATCCAAGCTTGCATCTGCTGCATTATTTTCTGAAATGCGGTACACAGCCAGTGTGGGTGAGCGGAGAAGAGCAGAGGAGAGGGGAGCGTCAGCCAAACGCTATGGCAGGGGTCAGCGCTGGGCATTGGAAAGGGAAGAGCCAAGAAAACCTGCAGAAAGCAGGTAGCTGTGAAACAACCTGCTCACGGGTACTTATACACCGGTGCTCAACACGCCTTGCAGAAGCAGTATGCCAGCAACTGTGCACACACGCACACCTATGTAGGCATGCAGGCAAACACAGGCATAGTTTTTCCTTTTAATCTCTACACTGTGGTATTTTTCTCTTCTAACTGTCGCCCTTCACTCACTGTACCCTAAGAAGTGAACCCTAATAGTGACAAAAAGGGAAGGTGTCTCAGTAACCAAAGACGATGTGCGGATGGTCTGTACTCCTTAGGCCTACCCACCTGAGAAAACCAGGCAGCCATGAAGTGGCTCTTGGAGTTTCAGTAAGGAATTGGCCAGCTCATTGAGAGTCAAAGAGAGACGTCAGGGGACATCCAGAGCATGTCAATAAGGTTTTAAGAACTGAATTTTTCATTTGTTTTATGTTGATGCATATTTAAGACTATGGGTGGTTTTTCACAGCTTCCACCCAAGGATCTCAAAACATTTTTTTGAATGGGTTTCTAATTTACGCTTTGTTCTTTTACGAGCATTTTGTCAGTAAAGGATACATTCAAACTCTAGAATTGAGTATGACAGCAAAAAATAGACAAATAATTGTGAAGTCCAAGAATCCAAAATTCACGAGCCAGAACTTGGAAATACACCTGCTTAAATTAGAGGCTATATAAAAAGAATACATGTTTAAGTTATTTTTTCCAGACTTAATGGTGCGCTGAGTTTCTAGTTCAAGTTTTGCCTCAGCTGAAAAAACTTAGATTACACCTTTCATGTAATGAAGTCTATTTCACATATTTGCATTACTTCAGGTGCTGGAACTTTTCGAAAACACAACAACTATCCTGAGACTCAATAAAAGCTGAGAGCTGGCAGCACTGTGCTTGGGACGGGAAGTAATGAATGGCAGTGCTTTCATTCAAAACTCCAGGGACAATTTAGGTACAACACGATTCCTAGAGTACGAACTCATACCAGGCTGTGCTTAAATTTGCTCTCAGGAAAAAGAAAAAAAATAGAAGACACAAAACAAAACCCCACCACATCTCTTAATGACCAGAAGAAGCAAAAGTTATCAGTCAGGTATGCAATACATCATCAACCACTACCCCGTGCTTCGGTGTCTCTTCTATGCTGAAGCTACAGGTCACAAGTGGCTTCAGTAATACTTTGCTTTCTGCTTTGTTTGGCATCCAGCCGTGAAAATACTGACTTGGAGCAGGGTATCTGAGGAGATAACATGAGCACAGCACAAACACTATGGCTTTTCTACTGGTGGGATGCAATAGAGTAATAACGAAGCATTTCAATAAACTGTGGATGGAGGCTGCTCCACACACAGCCCTTCACCAGCCCCGTTTGGTAAGCAGAAGTTAAGTTCACTGTCATATGGTGTCGTGCCCACAGGTACACACTGCTTTTCCGTAACAACTGGGCATATTCAGAAGGTGGAAATGGGTGGTGGTGAAGCACTTGGAGGTACCTTTTATGAACGCTTTGTCTGGGGAGTAGAGTTTCAGAAGAGCCTGTTACCATCCTTCAGATGCTGGCAGAACAGGATAATTACCAGTGATGACCTAAGATCTGCGCTATATATACTTATACCACATACGTGGTCATGGAAACCACCACAAAAACTGCTGTATTTTCAAAACCATGATATAAATTTCAAACTATTATATAAAGTGGTTTTATACTTCACTGCCATGGTGCACTAGCCTCTTTCCATACCATTCACAGCATAGTTACTATAGTAACTAATGTATTGCAAAAGGGAAGAAGCTAAAAAGAAGCTAAAATTTTTAAAAAAATGATAGACTAAACAAAGGCAGTGTCTTAAAAAAAAAAAAAAAAAAAAAAAAAAAACAAGAATGCAGGCACAGTTTTATGGTCATGTGTTTGGAAACACCAACACCATCTCACTTGGGATGTTGTCACTTAAACGCACAGAAATGCTTTAGCCAAACAGTTTTATGGCACCCCACATTGCAGTACCTAGGTATATCTAAACTTCATTAAACTGAGATTTTACTGCCTTCCTTTCAATGACTCAACAAAGACCAAATCACCTAAATAACTTCCTCCATCCACCAATTAATATTGCAAAGCTTTAGATTCCTTGAAAACTTCCATAGCTTGTATCAAATGGAATGACCATATGTGGGAGGGGAGATCTATGAAAATCCATGGCAAGTTCAAAGTTCCATGTTCTAAAGTTTCATGTGCAAGGCAACCATCCTGGGCTTTAGGAGAGAAGTGTGGGAGTGACAGAGCCACAAACAAAGTAATAGAAACTGTTACATAATATTGCATACAGAAGAGAAGAAAACCACATCAATGGAAAATACGGCTCTCTCAAGTCAGGGATTAAAAAGGTTTATGTATCATTTTACCTGTGTTCCTGCGTATATACATACAATGCAGGGTCTGATTTTCTACTACTTCCCATATCCAAATCTTCATGTAAAAGTATTACATCAGCTCTATATTCATTCTCATTGTCATTCTACAGCTACACAATGCAAACTAGCTGTGGGACAGGAGAACTAGATATAAAAATAGAAACTCAACAGCTTCAACTAGTTCAACATTTGGTTGCTTAAGGATATGTCTTATAAAGCCTGTAGCTCTCTCTCTGCATCAGTGCTTCTTTTTTCTTCAACCTTCTTTGATACTGTCTTCTTAACAAGAAAGCCATCAGCTTATGATTTTTTGTTGAAATATTATTCTCTTCTCTGGTATCTTCCTGAAAGTGTCAGGAAAGCGACTATCCCCATAATACCCTTAAAAGACTGGACAGTCATTTGAAGGATGCTTTCTGCACCTGACATTTCCCAAACACTTCGTAAAGAATGTGAAAAGGAGTAAAAACAGTTTCCGCTGAATCTCCTGGGACTGGATAGGTTCAGCCATTCAAAGGCTCAGACAGCTGGTCAAAAGTCACATGTCAACCACAATAAGCTAACCCATTTGGCTCAAAAACAAAGAATATACGGAAAATTGCCACCACAGTCAGTTAAATAATAAAAACACAGCAAACCATTTGGAAATTTTGTAAGACCTTTCATTTTGCAAATATTTTGCAAACCTCAGAAAACAATCAAAGTTCAAAAACAAAGGTTTTGCCACCAGTTATTTTTGTTGGCTGCAATAAATGAGGCAACAATAAAGCTTGGCTCCAGCATACTTCAGGCATCAAAAACATGCATCTCACCAACCACTGAACTTAGGACAATTGTAAATAAACCTTGAACAATTTCCAAGGGAAGAAATTTAACTCACATCCCCTTGTTCCCTCCCCTCAGTACCTTATCCAAAATCTCAGTTGTGGATTTGGGAATTTTAGAAAGACAGAAGGAAAGAAATTGAATTTTTTAATCAGCCACACTAAATCATATAAAAAGCATCTTACAAAAAGTTCTAAGCTTTTCCCACTGAACCTGAATTGACAAGTTCACCTGTATTTCTCATTCCTTTTGATTTTTCTCTTTTCCTCAACTCACAGAAAAGATAGCACATACGCTTCAGACAGTCTAATATTTTTTTAATCAAAAGGAAATTAAAGAAGAGGCAATGATGTACATTCCTTCTGGGGAAAGTAGAAGCCTCATTCCTAGCCTGTCTTAAAATAGCCTGATTGAACTACAATATTTGCATTACAATTCTGGGTCAGCTGCACCATGGGATTATGCGTGCAGATCAGAGGGGTGTTTAGTTTTTATTTTCAGCCTTGTAGATTTTTCACATTATATCCATTCTCTGCACATTCCTCCTGACGTTACGTATCAGTGCCGTTTGGAACAATCTGAGAGATTTACTCCCCAGATAGCTCAAGTAGGAAACAGGGCCTACAGCGCTTTTATGCACTGCAAGTGGAAATCTTTGCTGCAGAAATCTCTCTGTATCAGGTGTCAAAGCAGACAAAAGAGCCTTTGCTTCTTTTCAAACACTGACTCAGATTCTGACATTCTCGACTTCTCTAGCAAATCACAGTAGTCCTCACTACACTACTCCGGATTTTACCTGCAGGATGTAAAACGAGCACCAAACAATGCTGAGGGGGTGCTATTTGGTAAAAAGTCATGGAAAAGTCTTGCCTGCCAACCATACCTGAACAAAGATTTCCTACAGCTCAGCACAGGGTCCCAATTCATTTGACTTTCTTCACACATTGGATTTCAAATTGTCCAACACAGTTTTCATAAGAATAACTTGCAAACATTCACTGGATAATTCCTCATCTGCTGGCAAGTCTCGCTGGATACTTCATACATACAGTTCAGGCTGGGCTCCTTCCTCACACGGATCAGATATTTTCCCATTCTTCTTCTGGCAGCAGTCATTCGAAGTAATGCGCAGACCTCGTAAACGCCCACCTACAGAGAGCTGCGTTTCATACTTATCTCCCTTTCCCAGCTCGTGGGTAAGAAGCAGACCACTTGTTGATCTCAAAGAGGAATTTTAACTATTAATTAAAGCTATTAAAAAACAGTCGTTGAAAGGGGCCGCACCAATGTGAAATACTATTATGTGCCATAGGCTGAAAGAGGAAACAAATCCAGGCAATTACAAAAACTAGACACAGAAGACACTACCTAGTCCATAATCCTCATCAGGGCAGCAATTACGCTATTCCACGAATGTCATTCAGTCTTAGTCAGTGACTGTACCTCTGTCATATTTCTTAGAAATGGGCTCCTCTGTACGCTGACTCATCCTCAAGAACAAATTTCATCATCTCATTTCACCTCTACAAGTTACGCTCTTTTGTATTATCTTTAATGGTTCTTCCCTAGGGTTTTATGCTGCATGTTCTGGGGTTCGTTTTGCACAGCATTTGAGACCTTCTGAAACATGTTAGGTTATCAGGCCATTTCCCTCTTAAATTTCTCTTCCAAGATGTACATAAAAACCTCTTCTGATTTGCTTTCACAAATCAAATGTCCAGGTGCTTCATCCATACAGCTGATGCTGATAAGATTTTATCCACATTAAGCAGGAGATCGGTGACATCCACCACGGCTTCAGTAAGGGCAGATTGTGCCTAACAAACTTGGTGGTCTTCTACAACGGGGTTTGGTGGATAGAGGCAGAACAACTGACATCATCTGCCTGGCCTTGTGCAATGTATCTGATGCTGTCCTCTATGCTATCCTTGTCTCTAAGATGGAGAGATGTATTTGATGGATGGACCACTTGGTGGGAAAGGAATCGGCTGGATGGTCGCACGCAAAGAGCTGTGGTCAATGGCTCAATGTCCTGGTGGAGATCTGCAACGAGTGCAGTTCTAACGTCTATGTTAGGGACATGGACAGTGAGATCGAGTGCACATTCTGCAAGTTTGCCAATAACAAAAGGCTGTGCAGTGCGGTCAGTGTGCTGCAGGAGAGGGATCCCATCCAGAGGGACCTGGGCAGGCCTGAGAGGTGGGCCTGTGCAACTTTATAAGGTTCAGCAAGGCCAAGTGCAAACTCCTACACATGGGCCGGTACAATTCCAAGCACAAATCCAGGTTGGACAGAGAATGGATTGAGAGCAGCCCAGAGGAGAAGGACCTGGGGGCGTCGGTTGACGTGAAGCTCCACATGAGCCGGCTGTGTGTGCTTGCAGTCCAGAAAGCCAAACGTATCCTGGGCTGGACCAAAAGCAGCGTGGCCAGCAGGGTGAGGGAAGTGATGCTCCCCTTCTTCTCGTGAGACCCCACCTGGGGCCCTGTGTTCACCTCTGGGGCCCCCAGCACATGATGGGCAGGGACCTTTTCTTTAGTCACACAGTGTGAGAGGGTCCTGACGAGTCAGAGCATTCCAGGACTCAAGGCGAGCGTCCCCCAAAAACGCCATGACTAGCAGCACCCACAGGCACTGCCATGAGCTTCCTTTTGGGTCAGACCAAGACATTGTCTGTGGAACAGTCACGGCTTTTATTGTCCTTTAATTGCAGCCTATGCAAGCCCTCCTAGTGGTGCTGGGGGAGCCCAGAAATATGTGCAGGGGCCGGAGAGCTGCTGGAGAACGTGCTGCAGGTGAGGATGGCCCATTGTGATGTTCCCAGTGATGTCCCCTACTGGGGGGTGGCCATGTGCCTGGCGGCTGTCTGTGACATCTTGCTGAAGCGCTGCGATGTCTCCAGGTGATGCTTTATGATTGCGTGGCCCTCACGGCTTAAATCTGGGCACAGCGGCTCAGCCCAGCAGTTTGTGCCTCCCCTCTATCCGAGCGTCTTTGCGAGGACTGGAGCGAGGAACAAGGCAAGCCTTGGTTCTGGAAGGTGCTCACGTCTCCAGAGCCACTTCTGCTTTTCTCCCAGCCCTGTTCCCAACAGGCAGCTGGGACATCCAGCAGGAGCACCTGCAGCAGCAGAGGTGAGTTGCATGGGGACACCTTGCACAGGCAGCATGAGGTTCCTCCTTGAGGGACCCTCCCCACCCCAGAGATTTACTGTGACCCCTCTCTTCCTCTTCCAGAGTGACACCCGCCGCTGCAGCTCCTGTGCCTGGGAGGAGATTGTCACCTGCTGTTCCTCCCAGCCCACCAGTGGCAAGCATGGCCGCGGCACTGGACACCCGCTGCCCAATATGTCTGGACACCTGGGGCAGCGCCGCGTTCACCATGCCGTGCTGCCACCAGTTCTGCTATCCGTGCATCTGGCGGTGGCAGACAGCAAGCCCGAGTGCCCCCTCTGCAAGAGGAGAATTACATCTCTAGTGCACTCGGTGCAGGCTGATGATCAGTTCGAGGAGCTCGTCATCAGCCCATCGGCAGTGGCATCTGCCAACAGGCCGCCTGTCTGGGCTCCCATCACCTTCGCTGGCGGCCTCCCCGCGGACACCTGGGGACAACTCTTCCGGAAGCACCCTGCTCTCCTCCAGCCCCTGCTCTCCTGGGTGCGCCGGGAGCTGGGGCGCGTCTTCGGGGCACAGCGTTTGGAGGCGCTCATCTTGGAGAACGCCGTCATGGAGAGCCTGCGCCTCTTTGGCCTTGAGGAAGACCTCCTAGTCCAGCTGATGGAGCTCGACCTCGGCCACCACGCGGCGACATTTGTCAGTCAGCTCCTGGAAGTCGCCGCGCAACGGTGCAGCAGGGAGGCCCACCGCCTGCTGCGACTGAACGCTCCACCTGCAGCCCAGCAGCGGGAGGTCAGCCCCGCACCCGGACCATCCGGACACGGAGGGGTGGCTCCTCCACCCGTTCCAGGCCCCTCTCCACAGCCCGCCAGCTCCAGCGGGGATGAGGTGCCTGCAAGTTCCAGGGACAGCCTGCGAGGGACTCCCAGCCACCCTCACTCCATCTCTGCTGCGGTCCCCATGGAACAGGCAGCGCCTCCAGAGGAGCCATAGGAGGCTGCACCAGGTCCCTCCAGCGCCAGGCGGGGCACGGGGTGCCAACCTGGGGGGCCCCGGCGAGTCCCCAAGAGGAAGAACAGCTCCTCCCAGGGTCCTTCGCCACCCAAGAAGAGGCCACCCCGCCGGCAGTAGAGGACCTGCGGAGACCAGGGCCGGACAGCAGCTCGGGGACACGCCGGCCCTAAAGGACCCAAATGTCACCAGGGTCCTATTCCACCACACAGAGTACAAATAAAATCATAAAATCACAGAAAACGTGTCAGTGTTGCAAACAGCACAGTGGTCATTGTCATCCCCACCCCTGCTGCTTGCTCCTCCCTTTCCTGATGCCGTGACCACTCTTAGTACAAACTTGCCTAATTTTCCTTAGCTTCCACTTATGTCTTCAACCCGAACTTGAGTATTTTCCCCTCTCACCTTGCTTGACATGGTCTTTACACTGAGTGCTTCTTTGGTAAATAATATACATTCTACAAGAAGAGAAAAGAGATTTTTTCTTAAAGGTACCTATCTTCCTAATGGGGAAAGGCTGAGAGACCTGGGTCTGTTCAGCCTGGAGTTTAAAAGAAGACCAAGGGGGGATCTCATCAATGTGTATAAATTGCTGAGGTATGGGAGACAGAGGGATTTGGCCAACCTCTTTTCAGTGGTTTGCGGGGACAGGACAAGGAGTAATGGTCACAAGATAGAGCCCGGGAAGTTCCGCACCAACATGCAAAAGAACTTCTTCACGGTGAGGGTGATGGAGCACTGGGACAGGCTGCCCAGGGAGGTTGTGGAGTCTCCTTCTCTGGAGATATTCAAGGCCCATCTGGACACCTACCTGGGCAACCTGCTGTAAGGAACCTGCTTTGTCAGGGGGGTTGGACCCAATGATCTTTTGAGGTCCCTTCCAACCCCTTCAATTCTGTGATTCTGTGATTCTGTGATATGTACACAAAACAACTCTCTTTTCTATTTCCTCTGTTTCTCTTTCTGTCTTTCTCACTCTTGTACCCACAGCTACTATGCTAAGACCAAAGATGGAAAAGCCACAGTTAACTCCCCAGCAGATAACAGTAACAGCATTTCATGTATATTAATGAAGATTCATTAAACATCTTTCACTGTGACTGAGCAAAACAGTGTTTGAAACCCATAAGTTATTTAGAGAGACAGAGAGCAATATAGAAATAAACACAACAACAATCTGAACAAGCCAAGGGCAACAGAGAGATTTTTCACTTCCTTTCTGCTAGCATCTGTAATGGAGAGAATGTATCAGAAGTCTCATCAGGTTCTACATGCTGACTGTGAATAGGATACTCTTGAGTACTTTTTTATCGTTTAATTGTCTTCAGTGTTATTGTTGCTAATACCCACTTAGAAGCATGGAATTAAAATGTTTTTTCTGTTACCACTATCATATTTTTCTGTTTGCCAGACTGATTATTTAGTCTTCATTTCTAATGGGACTTGAAAGGAATATGATGTGCAATTTGTTTGTGCACAAGCTTTTTCCTCAGTGTCTCAATTGAGCGTTGCCCAAGGTGGTTTAGTAGTTAACTTTCACTCCCTCTGCTGGCTCTCAGGCATCAGAGCAGAAGATATTGTTTTGTTTAGGTCCTACAAAAACAAAATGTGTTTACTATTGATTTTATATAAATATAATGGTAGCATTTGAAGGAAATTCCTGACACATTAAAACAGATGTGCATATACACTGTGTTCATGTATTTTGCAAGTTCTTTGAATCTTTTGGTCTCCCTGGGCCTTACAATTCACTCTTTGGTTGTCCTAAACAGCCATACGGACAGCCAAAGTCTCGCAGCCCAACAGTCAACCTTTAACACAGAATCAAGTAGTACAACATCCCGAGTTGGAAGGTACCCACAAAGATCACTGAGTCCTACTCAATAATCCACAAAGCTCCACAAAGAACCACCCAAAAAGCAGACCATGTGTATCTGAGCACTGTCCATACACTCCTTGAACCCAAGCAGGCTCGGTGCCATGAGTACATCCCTGGGGAGCCTGTTCCAGTGCCTGACCATCCTCTCGGTGCAGAACCTTTTCCTAACACCCAGCCTAATCCTCCTGTCCAGCTCCATGCCATTCCCTTGGGTCCTGTCAGTGTCGCCACAGAGCAGAGCTCAGAGCCTGCCCCTCTCATTCCCTCATGAGGAGGCTGCAGGCCGCCATGAGGCCTCCCCTCAGCCGCCTTTTCCCCCATCTGAGCAAACCAAGGAACTTCAGCCACTCCTTGTGCATCTTGTCCTCCAGATCCTTCACCACCTTCGTGACCATCCCTTGGGCACTAATTGTTTTATGCTCTTCTTATATTGTGGCACCAAAACTGCAGAGTGCTCAAGGTGAGGCTGTCCCAGGCAGAGCAGGGTGGGACAATCCCTTCCCTCGACCAGCTGGCAGTGCTGTACCTGAGGACCCCATGACACAGTTAGCCCTTTTGGCAGCCAAGGCACGCTGCTGACTGCTTTTCAACTTCCCATCAGCCAAAACCCCCAGATCCATGAGCCAGCAATGGGCCCTTGTGGCCGAGAAGGCTGACGGTAGCCTGGGGTGCAGTGGGAAGAGGGCTGCCAGTGGGGCCAGGGAGGGGATCCTGCCCCTCTGCTCAGCCCTGGGGAGGCCGCACCTGGAGCGCTGCGTCCAGTTCTGGGCTCCCCAGCACCATGGACATGGAGCTGCTGGAGTGAGTCCAGCTGAGATAAGGGGACTGCAGCATCTGTCCTGCGAGGGGAGGCTGGGAGAGCTGGGCCTGCTCAGCTTGGAGGATAGAAGACCGAGAGGGGATCTCATCAATATGTACAAGTATCACAAGGGAAGGTGTCAAGAGGCTGGAGCCAGACTCCTTTTGGTGGTGCCGAGTAACAAGACAAGAGGCAATGACCACAAACAGAGACGCAGGAAGTTCCAGCTGAATATGAGAGGGCATTTGGTTACCGTGACGGTAACAGAGCACTGGAACTGGCTGCATTATATCCATTCTCTGCACATTCCTCCTGACGTTACGTATCAGTGCCGTTTGGAACAATCTGAGAGATTTACTCCCCAGATAGCTCAAGTAGGAAACAGGGCCTACAGCGCTTTTATGCACTGCAAGTGGAAATCTTTGCTGCAGAAATCTCTCTGTATCAGGTGTCAGAGCAGACAAAAGAGCCTTTGCTTCTTTTCAAACACTGACTCAGATTCTGACATTCTCGACTTCTCTAGCAAATCACAGTAGTCCTCACTACACTACTCCGGATTTTACCTGCAGGATGTAAAACGAGCACCAAACAATGCTGAGGGGGTGCTATTTGGTAAAAAGTCATGGAAAAGTCTTGCCTGCCAACCATACCTGAACAAAGATTTCCTACAGCTCAGCACAGGGTCCCAATTCATTTGACTTTCTTCACACATCGGATTTCAAATTGTCCAACACAGTTTTCATAAGAATAACTTGCAAACATTCACTGGATAATTCCTCATCTGCTGGCAAGTCTCGCTGGATACTTCATACATACAGTTCAGGCTGGGCTCCTTCCTCACACGGATCAGATATTTTCCCATTCTTCTTCTGGCAGCAGTCATTCGAAGTAATGCGCAGACCTCGTAAACGCCCACCTACAGAGAGCTGCGTTTCATACTTATCTCCCTTTCCCAGCTCGTGGGTAAGAAGCAGACCACTTGTTGATCTCAAAGAGGAATTTTAACTATTAATTAAAGCTATTAAAAAACAGTCGTTGAAAGGGGCCGCACCAATGTGAAATACTATTATGTGCCATAGGCTGAAAGAGGAAACAAATCCAGGCAATTACAAAAACTAGACACAGAAGACACTACCTAGTCCATAATCCTCATCAGGGCAGCAATTACGCTATTCCACGAATGTCATTCAGTCTTAGTCAGTGACTGTACCTCTGTCATATTTCTTAGAAATGGGCTCCTCTGTACGCTGACTCATCCTCAAGAACAAATTTCATCATCTCATTTCACCTCTACAAGTTACGCTCTTTTGTATCATCTTTAATGGTTCTTCCCTAGGGCTTTATGCTGCATGTTCTGGGGTTCGTTTTGCACAGCATGTGAGACCTTCTGAAACATGTTAGGTTATCAGGCCATTTCCCTCTTAAATTTCTCTTCCAAGATGTACATAAAAAACTCTTCTGATTTGCTTTCACGAATCAAATGTCCAGGAGGACAAGGAGGAGATCAGTAAGGAAATCGGTGACACCCACCATGGCTGCACTGAGGGCAGACTGTGCCTTAAAAATTTGGTGGTCTTCTACGATGGGGTTTCTGCACTGGCGGATAGAGGAAGAGCAATTGACATCATCTGCCTGGACTTGTGCAATGTATCTGATGCTGTCCTCCAGGCTATCCATGTATCTAAACTGGAGAAACAGATTTCATGGATGGACCACACATTGGATAAGGAATCGGCTGGATGGTCTCACTCAAAGAGCTGTGGTCAACACCTCAATGTCCTGGTGGAGATCAGCAACAAGTGGAGTTCTTCAGGGCTCGTGATTGGGACCAGCGCAGTCTAACATCTTTGTTGGAGACATGGACAGTGAGATCGAGTGCACCTTCTGCAAGTTTGCCAATAACGCCAGGCTGTGCGTTGTGGTCAGTGTGCTGCAGGGGAGTGTACTGGGTCTGGATGGAATGGTAACTTTCCCTGCAGCAGCCCACACAGAGAGGGATCCCATCCAGAAGGACCTGGGCAGGCCTGAGAGGTGGGCCTGTGCAACCTTATAAGGTTCAGCAAGGCCAAGTTCAAACTCCTACACATGGGCCAGTACAATTCCAAGCACAAACACAGGCTGGGCAGAGAATGGATTGAGAGCAGCCCAGAGGAGAAGGACCTGGGGGGGTTGGTTGATGAGAAGCTCCACATGAGCCGGCTGTGTGTGCTTGCAGCCTAGAAAGCCAACCGTATCCTGGGCTGGACCAAAAGCAGCGTGGCCAGCAGGGCAAGGGAGGTGATTCTCCCCTTCTGCTCTGCTCTCGTGAGACCCCACCTGGGGCCCTGCGTTCAGCTCTGGGGCCCCCAGCACATGATGGGCAGGGACCTTTTCTTTAGGCACAAAGTGTTAGAGCGTCCAGCAGGAGCACCTGCAGCAGCAGAGGTGAGTTGCATGGGGACACCTTGCACAGGCAGCATGAGGTTCCTCCTTGAGGGACCCTCCCCACCCCAGAGATTTACTGTGACCCCTCTCTTCCTCTTCCAGAGTGACACCCGCCGCTGCAGCTCCTGTGCCTGGGAGGAGATTGTCACCTGCTGTTCCTCCCAGCCCACCAGTGGCAAGCATGGCCGCGGCACTGGACACCCGCTGCCCAATATGTCTGGACACCTGGGGCAGCGCCGCGTTCACCATGCCGTGTTGCCACCAGTTCTGCTATCCGTGCATCCGGCAGTGGCAGACAGCAAGCCCGAGTGCCCCCTCTGCAAGAGGAGAATTACATCTCTAGTGCATTCGGTGCAGGCTGATGATCAGTTCGAGGAGCTCGTCATCAGCCCATCGGCAGTGGCATCTGCCAACAGGCCGCCTGTCTGGGCTCCCATCACCTTCGCTGGCGGCCTCCACTGCGGACACCTGGGGACAACTCTTCCGGAAGCACCCTGCTCTCCTCCGGCCCCTGCTCTCCTGGGTGCGCCGGGAGCTGGGGCGCGTCTTCGGGGCACAGCGTTTGGAGGCGCTCATCTTGGAGAACGCCATCATGGAGAGCCTGCGCCTCTTTGGCCTTGAGGAAGACCTCCTAGTCCAGCTGATGGAGCTCGACCTCGGCCACCACGCGGCGACATTTGTCAGTCAGCTCCTGGAAGTCGCCGCGCAACGGTGCAGCAGGGAGGCCCACCGCCTGCTGCGACTGAACGCTCCACCTGCAGCCCAGCAGCGGGAGGCCAGCCCCGCACCCGGACCATCCGGACACAGAGGGGTGGCTCCTCCACCTGTTCCAGGCCCCTCTCCACAGCCCGCCAGCTCCAGCGGGGATGAGGTGCCTGCAAGTTCCAGGGACAGCCTGCAAGGGACTCCCAGCCACCCTCACTCCATCTCTGCTGCGGTCCCCATGGAACAGGCAGCGCCTCCAGAGGAGCCATAGGAGGCTGCACCAGGTCCCTCCAGCGCCAGGCGGGGCACGGGGTGCCAACCTGGGGGGCCCCGGAGAGCCCCCAAGAGGAAGAACAGCTCCTCCCAGGGTCCTTCGCCACCCAAGAAGAGGCCACCCCGCCGGCAGTAGAGGACCTGCGGAGACCAGGGCCGGACAGCAGCTCGGGGACACGCCGGCCCTAAAGGACCCAAATGTCACCAGGGTCCTATTCCACCACACAGAGTACAAATAAAATCATAAAATCACAGAAAACGTGTCAGTGTTGCAAACAGCACAGTGGTCATTGTCATCCCCACCCCTGCTGCTTGCTCCTCCCTTTCCTGATGCCATGACCACTCTTAGTACAAACTTGCCTAATTTTCCTTAGGCCAATGGTATTTACAGTTTCACAGGCTGACAGTAGCCTGGGGTGCAGTGGGAAGAGGGCTGCCAGTGGGGCCAGGGAGGGGATCCTGCCCCTCTGCTCAGCCCTGGGGAGGCCGCACCTGGAGCACTGCGTCCAGCTCTGGGCTCCCAAGCACGACGGACATGGAGCTGCTGCAGCGAGTCCAGCTGAGACGAGGGGACGGCAGCATCTGTCCTGCTTGGAGGAGAGCTTGGAGAAGACCGAGAGGGGATCTCATCAATATGTACAAATATCACAAGGGAGGGTGTCAAGAGGCTGGGACCAGACTCCTTTTGGCAACGGGCAGAATCTGAAACAGGAATTTCCAGATGGATATGAGAGGGCATTTTGTTACTGAGAGGTGACATAGCACTGGAACTGGCTGCCTAGAGAGGCCGTGGAGCTTCCTTCTCTGGAGATATTCCAAACCCACCTGGATGTCATCCAGTGCAACACGCTCTGGGTGAGCCTACTGGGCGGGGGTTTGGACCAGGTGATCTCCAGAGGTCACTTCCCATATCAGCCATGCTGTGATTCTGTGATCCCTTCCCACAGAGCTGCTCTCCAGCCTCGTGTGCCCACATTTGTACATACAGACAGGGTTGCACTGTCCTAAGTGCAGAATCTGGCACTTGCACTTGTTAAACTTCATGTAGCTGGTGATTGCCCAGCCCTATAATTTGTCAATATCTCTCTGCAAGGCCATCCTCAAGGGAATCAACAGCTCGTGCTAATTTAGTATCATCTGAAAACTTACTTGGTGTGCATTCAAGTCCCTCATTTATAAAAACATTAAAGAGAATGGGCCCTAAAACTGAGAGCCCTGGGGAACCTCACTGGTGACTGGCCACCCGTATTCACTGACAGTCTCAAGTTTAATGTCAGAGTGGGAATCTTAATCAGAACTTAACAAAAGAAAGAATATATTTGACATAGTTATCAGCCAAGACTATGAAGATTCTTTGGAGAAAATCAGCAAAGATTTTTAAGTGTGAAATGTGGACGATGGGAAACTAACAGCAGGTAGAAGCAGTAGACCAATTAATCCCCTAAACAAGAAGGGGAACCCAAATTGAAAGACTCAGTTATGCACACCAACAAAAATGTGTTGCCAACAGCAAACATTATTTATGGTGATAATACCAGGAACCCTTAGCTCATCATCCACAGCTCTTTACAGCTCTTTTTTTTTTTTTTTCTTCTGTAATATCTGTGGAATTAGTGCATATAGAAACAAGGGTACTCTCAACCACTTTGCAGCATTATGGAAAAACAACCTCCCTATCTGCATCTAAAATACAAAGGTCTTTTTCAACCTTACAGCTGGCCTTTCTGCTCTTCCATCATCACAGTTGACACAGCTGACAAGTTTATCTATCTTAACAGTACTCTCCCTAGCTCAGCAGTAATTGCTGACAAGTATCTCTCTGCTTTCAAAACAAGCTGAATACTGGGTTTTCTGCAAAATCATGTCTGGAGCAATCACAGGATCACTCACCCTGAATCTGTGTTTGAAGAGTCTGGTTTTGTTTCTGTTCTCCTTTATGGTCCTCCACAGAACTCCCACCTCTGACGATGAAGCCTGTTCCCCCAGTGCTGCCTGCGCACGAGTCTGGGAATCTGCTGACGAGACCATGCAAGTAGCATTGAACTTCCATCTCACAGCACGATCTCACCTTGTATTGAAACTTTCCTAAAACCTTATAGACACTGAAAGCCCTCCCCAGAATTCGTCAGGTCAGTACCAGTAACACCACTAAAAAAGACTTCACTTCAAGAGATGTGAACAGAAATCTATTACAATATTCTCTCAGTATCTATGGCAAAATGCAGACAACCTGGTGGCTAACAGAGAGAAAAGAAAGCTGAAAAAGAATCAATTAGCACCTTCTCAACACTTAAAATTCACATCTGTTCCTCCTAGGTGGTCTGTTTCCAAATGGCAGTACGCAGAGATTGTGGAAGTAAAAATTGTTTAGTCGCATTGAAAGTGCGATCACCGCCAGCTACAACAATCAATAATAACAGAAAAGCTTCCAGTAGCTACGAAAGCTGAGTGCCATAAAGAGATGCCTAGAGACAAAGGTTATGATAATGACAAATAGACCTAATGCATTCTGTTCAGAGCAAAGTGAAATCCAAGCCTGACACATACACATTTTGAAGAATGGCATGAAGCATTACTGAAAGATTACAAAGAGTCAGCAAATGAAAAATAATTCTAAGGAGACCGTTAATATTAAAAATGTTTTTCAGCTCTATAGGTGATACTATCAGAAGTCAGCTTTGCTCAGGATTTCTGAGCTTCTTCTGAGAAAGTCTAGAAAATATTTTGGGCTGGAAGAAAACAAACATTATTTGACTACAGGTCTCTCAATGATACTCTGAGAGAGACGTCTTCAGAGAACTTCTACGTGCATCCAGGAATGATCCCTGTTATTGTTCCCTGTGTTGAGTGGCTTTATAAGAAAGACATGCATGCAGTGAGATATGGTTTAGAAATGCCAGTAACATTTCTAATATTAGTGTCACCTGGCAGGCCAGTGTCCCCTGCCTGCAGTGGCTGCTCCTGCAAGGTGACCTTCTGCTCTTGTGAAGTAGAAGTAACATGATCTCTGCGAAAACGCACAGCACAGCTGAGAAAGTCATTAGAGAGCTAGAACTGCAACTACCAAGAGTTGAAGAGCTTTTTGTTTAATATATTAAATGAAGCCTCCTTGAGGTAAAAAAATAAAAAAATCAAACTACCTCCCGTATGAACCAAATGGGACTCTATGGGTATGTAAACAGGTAGAAAGTGCCTATCATTTCTTTGGGCCAAACACAGACCCAAAGGTCACATATTCATCAGACCCTAGGGTCTATGACACTGACAAGCATGCATTAATTGTGCCTGAAAGGAAGTGCAATTAAATGCACTGCTGTTTTACCCAAGTATGGAGTGCAACCTGAATTAGCTGGTACATTCTGGCAATCTAATGCATTTGTACAGGTGATGTTCCACTGAAGACAATACACTGAGTCCCGTGTATTGGCATAAATGCTGGGAAAGTCGTGCTCAGCATTTACCTTGGCTCCACAGGATCCATACAGAAGCATGTGCCAACATGGGAACAGGCCAAATTTGTAATCTAAGCAGTTTAGAAACAGTCCTTTCTACATTTCAGTCATTTTAATCACATTGAACTGTACTTTGTTTCCACCTTGGAGTAAGAACTCCTTCTGCATCTAACTGGACAGACAGGAGTAAGAAAGACGCGTAAGGATAAACTTTTCAAGCCTTCTCCTACTCTGTCTATAGCAGATGGATAGAGTTGGGGCATAACAAATTATGCACCACCACAATAAACCCAGGACTTTACCCAAAGGTATAACCTCGTCTAAAATCTGCATTTTGATCCCCTGCTCTTTCAGGTATCCTCTCAGTTGCCTGCTACAGTTGGAAACTTTGTGGAGTCCAGGACGCAGGCTTTATGTTCTCCAGAATTCTGCAGTTTTCTGCAACTAAATTGAACGTGTATGAACTTTTTGATCTTTCTCCTTCTCTTTAATGAAACAAGGCATGGTCCCTGCGAAGACTCTGGACACCAGTCTCAAGTCTTTTTTACTATACACTGTAAAGCCCACTGAGAAGATAAGATGTGGACAGCTGGGAAAGACTTTCTCAGTTCCATTTTCCATGTATTGTATCATTCCAAACACTGCATGTCACAGCTTCACTCTAGCAGAATAAACTCTAACGAGGAAGAGATTTCAGTTAATTATTCTGCTTTTTCAATACTGGATTTGTGCTGAAAATAATGTTAGAGACATTGAATGTATGGATTTTTCTGATATAGGTAACAAACATAGCTGGAAAACTCAGCAAAACCTTAAGCCCCACAAATCAGAAACCAGAAACAGGACTGCAGTGCTTAACAGCAGGTCTGGCCAATAATTTCAGTGGAAAAACAAATTTGCAAGGATCAAATTACAGAGTCAAAAAAAAAAATCCAAATCCACATTTTCAGGCTAGCTACTCCATCCTGCACTCTTAATTTGAAATCTTCTAGACTTTGTAATTATTGAAATGGACACTTTTTTTATGACTCACAACAGAACAATAAAGGGTTAACAGGCAAAGATTTAAGGGCCTACCTAAGTAACCAGGGGAACATTGGAATTCCCAACCTGAGAGAAAATGTAAAGCATGGATTACTTCCTGAAATCTGCTCAAAATAAAATAAAAATAGCAGTAATTTTGATGAAAAAAAAAAAAGGAAAAAAAAAAAAGTGTTGTTCCTTCCCAGTGATCCTTGAAGAGCAGAGCAGTGCAGTGGAAGGGAAGGGAAGCCAGCACTTGGCTTGTAGTGCATTAGTGCTCTATCACCTCTACTGCCAAAGTGAACCATTACTTACTAAAAGTGCTCTCTAGACAGGCCCCTTCTGGGACAGTGTACCCATCACTTTCTGAAGGGTAGTTTGGAGGATTCCTCCCTTTTTGTTGGACAGTCCCCTGGGTTTCTAAACCTCATGCATTATGGATAGGATCTTAATGGAGACTGGCTGCATAAGCACTGCTTGCTGAGCCTCTCAGCTCAAGACAGCCATTGCTGCGCTGTGCTTTCCACTTTCTTTCCATCTTCTGTATGCCAATTAGGCTCTAATTTGATTTCTGTTCTATCTGTATGAACCCCATTAAAACCCAATTCTGCTTATTACCAACAGCTTTCTTTAAATGAAACTACTTTCCCTCTAAGGATTCTCCCAGATTCAGAGGCAAATCAATCCGCAATTACCCGATGTGTTGCCAGCCCATGCCACTTGGACTGTACGCTCGCTTTGCATTAAAAGCGAGCCTCCAGCTCACCGCCACCTCCTTGGCACTTTGCAACCTGCCACGATGCCATCCATCTTTGCCTTGCCAGATCAATAACGACAATTCTTGTACATAAATACCCTCAAATTACTTCTCTCTACAGTAACACAACACCAGTGTATTCTCTGTAGTACTGGCCACACAGACATTAGCTCTAATGGTGGTCTCTGCAAATGCACCGATGATTTAACTTCTGAGGGAAAAGAAACTTGCTTATAAAATATTTGTCAGTATCAATAGGCAATTAATATCAAATAGCCTCTTAATGAAGAGTCTCCCAGATTATAATGAAGCTTTGTAGCTGCGTCCTAATGTTCTTTAGCTAAGAAACTTGGGGTATTATAAACATTATGGAATCTCGCTGTTGCTACAGACATAGAAGAATGTGAGTGGGTGCGTGTCTTCTCTTAACAGAAAAGGAAGGAGCAGAATAGAAATAATTTTCTCTCCGAACACAAATAACCACAGTCTTTTATGACTTCTTGGAAAAGAAATAGCTTCAGGAGGGTGCACTGAAGCTCTCTTCTTCATGTCTTTTCCCTGTGAAGATTATAGCTGTTAAAAACAGGAAGCTGGTGTTTTGAAAATTTTATCAATGTAGCTTGATAATAGACAACAAAATTTTCTACCCTCCATGAACAGAAGATCTACTCCTTCCTCTTTTCTGGTTAGCCATCCCTGTTCTTTACTTCAAGTGGATATGAAAACTCTATCAAAAGGTTGTACATTTCTACAAACAATTGCTAACAGAAGGTACTTCAGATTTGGGGAAGATTTTACAATGACAGAACTGTCTTTAAAATCAGGGAGGTTTAAGTAACACTTGAATTCCAATACATTGATGCTAAGGTTGTTTCAAAAGACTATAAGGACTGATGTCGACATGAGGTTTTCTCTCCCAGGGAAGGCTCTACTGAGAGGATGCTGATTCCCTAACACCTTCCCGTGTTGAAGCTGGAAGAAGCAGGGGCTTCACAGAATGAGCTTGGATGGAAGTGGTTTTGCTGACATATTACCTGCTGACGGGGGTATTTTACTCATAATATTCTTGTCACAAGTAAAGTAGGTGCAGAAAAAGCATAATGTGGTATTTTCCTTTTCCTTACTAGTTCTCACCTGAAGGTTTCATCAAGGAGAGATGACCCTCGTAAGCATCCCCATATAAGGCGCAGTTGAAACATTCCAGGCTGTTATGTACAAGTGATATCTAGTTTCTCCTGATAGCTGCTCTGATTTTTTGTCTGGAACTTATCCAAGAAGAAGGAGCAGTCAGACTAAAATTACTAAGAAGACACAACAGAGATATAAAAAGTAATTAAAACTTATTTCATATCTAGAAACAGTGAACAGTGAACAGAGCAAGAATGTATCTGGCTATTTTAAGAATTGTAGCAGGCCTTTGTTGAGCTGCCTAAATGAGTAACACTTGTATATACAACAGATAATAATAATAAATATAATGATATTTTATAAAGTATGCACATAAAATGGTAGCATGATAAACTGCAAAAACAGGCAATAAATCCTATTTTTCATTCAACCCTTGCCACCTCACCTGTGCTCTGTATGCTAACTCTCCTCTCCAAGGATTTATCCTATTCCAGAATCTAGAAACAGTTTGAAAAACAACTGCTGCTTCAAATATAGAATGTGAAAAGCTGCCAGAAGAGTGGTTTCCTTTCTTCTTTTTTTTTTTTATCTTCCTCTAGTTACACAGTTACAGGTTCAGAGTGTAAGATGGATAGCAGTCACTCTTGCATTTATGTTAAAGATCTGTTGCTCTAGTCTACCAGGGCTGGAAATGGGTGCTGTAAACCAGCTGCCCACTGGTGTCAGGTTTGGGGAAAGGTGTAATTCCTGAGAAAAGAGAAACAAAGCAATCACAAAGCACTTCCTTTTAGCCGCTGGTTCTAGCTAAACAAAACTTCCTGCTCGCATGTTGCAGAAACACAGGACTGCTGCTTTTTTCCACTTATGAACAACAAAACTTGGTTTTAACTGTGGCTTCAGCCTCTGGGCATCAGAAAAGTTCATCTGAGTTCAAAACAGGGTAGGAAGCTGTATTTACTGTTGGGAAATCCTGGGTAGAAATACACTGTTTGTGTGCTCTGTAACGCATACACACAGAGCTTAATATATCTGGGACATGGAAAACCTTCTCTGCAGCTTGTTGGAAGCAGTACCCACTGCTCTGGCCAGGCTGCTGGACTGCCCAAAATCCAGGATAAAATCCTCAAATACCATCCAAATAATATATTTTGGGGGAAAAAAAAAATAGACATAGCCAAGATGATACACATACATGGTTGTTCTGAGATGAGGAGGTAATACTGTAGGTACTCTTCAGCTTAGGCAAGGTCAACTCAATGAGTCTGAGTTTCCCTAGAGTCACGGATTTTTTTTCTTATTTCTCTTCACTGGCCATCATAACTGTTTCTTTCTTAAATCTTTTGACAGTTAAAGACCTTATATCCTCATGGATATGTATGGCACAGACTTCCTACTATAATAGTATAGCTCCCTGGGTGAGTGTTTTTACACTGGAACAAACATATCCACACGGTGAGATACGCTGGAAGAGCCAGAGCAAAAGAATTACACCCCTGGCGGCAGGTAGCTCTGTGGAAGTTTCTGTGTGGACAAGGCCAGGAAGAGAGACTGGCTTCACCACCCAGCCTAATAAAAACACAGTTAACTCACTCTTATCTCTATAGCTGGCAGCAAAGGAAGTCTTTCCGTGTTACCTTCTTAAAAACCTTCAGAAGCATAGTGTCTGCCTGAACTACACCAGCAAACACCACCACAGAGTCAACCAAGTTCTAATGAAATCTACAATACCAGTTTCTACATCTGATGGATTTTCAGGTAACATCCTTACGATTAAACACAATGGTACACTTAATGTAAATAAACATACATTTTGGTACCTCTGTGCACTATTCCCTGGCAATGTGGATGAGTCACCTCGGAATGAGGAGGCTGCAGAAGAGAAGGGTTGGATAGCACAGTTTGTTGGAGAGCACAGCACGGCTTGGGAAGTTCTGTAGGCACAAAAGGCAAACAGTAATGTCAAGCAGATGGTAAAAACAGGAACCAAACGAGAAAGAAAAAGAAAAAGAAAAAGAAAAAAAAATAAGTTGCTTGAGCTACACACACACATATTTATAAGGTCTCACCGGCAAACCAGGACAATGAGTCTTTGTACAAGGGAAATATATTACACAACATAAAGCCATATCACTCGCCACATAAAGCTGCATTAAATGAATTCACTGATTAATAAATCAGACATCAAGAACTACAAAAAATTGTCCAGGAACTCTTAATGCTGTATCCTTCAGCTGTGCACATAAATGACATACTATTGTTTCAAGTGGTCAGAATCATATCATATGTAAATATCATAAGCCCTTTATAGCAAAGAGCCTCTGCAGATTCTTTTTTTAGCCTAAATGGTAAGAGCCTTTGCTTTTGGAACAGGACAGTTCAAATTCTATCTCCAGTTAACCACAAAGCCCCAAGTGACTATAAAATGCAGTAGTGACATCTGTACAGTTTCAGAGGCCACAGATTGTTTCCATATTCTAATTACTACATCTCATTACAATGAAGAAAAATCACTTCTTTTTTTGAGTCGCAGATGTGAAAGGAAGATCTTGTGGTTAAAGGACTCACAGAACTCAGAGGCCTAGATTTTTTCTCTTTCCAACTAAATTGCAGACTTCCAGCACAAGAACACTCACTTTCTTCCACTGTGTCTTGGAAGACTTAACATACCCATGTTCACTAAGTGTTTTGATGTCTTCATTTAAGTGACTCATATGGTCACAAAATACTTAAAATACCTTGCATGCAAAATTTTGATTATCACAGATCAGAAAGTTTGGAAAGACAAGATAATTAATTCTTTATGGACAATTTTCTTGTCTTAATTTTGTTTTTAGAACACTAGACAATTAGGAGATACTATACAATAGTTGACTTTCTCAAAACATAGTCTGTGATTAAATCATTGTTATGTGAAAAAAGCCTGTACATGGTAGTGTTCAATTCACGTAGTACTGCTGACCTTTTAGCTTTTCTAAGGCATCCATACACATGACAACTACAAACACTGGTTTAACCAGAAAAGACACACCGCTGCTATGATCAACTGCACCTTGATGTTGTTTTCAACCCAGTGCCACACACTACTGATGTATCTAAATTTAAGGCAGCAATTGGCTGGGTGGGTGATATTGTCACCAATCCGCAATTCTTCACCAGCTTTTATAGACTGCAGCGTCTTCTTTGGAAACTCTGAGTTTCATGTGAATGCTTGAGCAACAGCTGGCATGATAAGGCATGCATACTTGTGTCCAAAAATATGCACTCTGGGTGCGGTGCAAGGAACAAGGTCAAGGGACATGAGCCTTCAGGCCTAGGTCCTAGCTGAAGAGCTCACACGGTGCAGGAGCACTCACCTGGTGAGGCACAGTCAGGCAGCACTCCTTTATAAGGGGTTTTCATGACACATGAATGGGAGTCAACAATGGATTGCTAAAGAATGTAATGAGATTTACGTTTACAGGTTTTTAATGGCACAAAAAATCACCAAGCTTGAATCTCCTACTGAACCTCTAAAGCCAGAATACCTAAAAGGCTACGAAAAAGAAACTTGTGATTTTTAGTGAAACACAAGCAAATTTATTCAGAGGGCACTGTGCTCACTCTCCTCTAACCCAGAAAACTTGTCCCATGAAGTAAGGTAGCTCTGCAGACCTGCAGAAGGTCCTGTGAGCCACTGTCTGGAAATGTAGGTGTTTTCCAAAAATGCAGACTCAATGTGTTGTGGTGGGGGATCCCCAAAGTGTGAGTTACCTGAACGAAGATGTCATTTTTCACCTAAGTAGCACGCCTAACTTGTTTTTGTCGGCAACAGATGCAAAATCAGAACTCTGGGGTTTCAGTCCCTGTTCAATCTAAGTTATCCATTCTTTCTCTCCAATTGAGCTCGCATTGACATTTTGCAACACACAGTTAACTGCAGAGTGAGTGACATTACGGTGGTGACACCAGATCTTTGCAACCTGAACTCTCCAGTATAAACAAAAAGCAGAAATGAATCCCCTGTCTCCTGAGCATTAGCAGTTCCTGAAAAGAGCAAATGCAGAATTGCTTTCCTTATGGTCAAAAATGAATACTGCGAGGAAGTGACTGGAGGGCATTTTAGATTTCATGTTAAAGAAACAAAGCACAAATTGACTTTTTATAAAGGTCAAGTGAAAAATTGGATATCTTAAGGCTGCAGAGAATTTCTACTCTGTGTTCAGTTCTGTTTATACACAAAAATGAGGAGAAAAATATTGTCATGGCCAGCTTAACAGATGATCTGGCTTGGGACAAAGGAAAGAAAAAAGGAGAAAAAAAGACCATTTTTTCATGAAAGCCTGGTATTATACACAATATCATTTACAATAATTTTCCTCAATGGAAGTTATTACATTGCCCTTTCACAAACCATCTCGGCATTAACAAAATCTATCCAGCACGGCTTGCACATAACCTGCAGGTTCCAGCATTTGCCACTGGTTTGTGAATTAGTTGGTTATGTGCTGAAAGAGGTATTTAGGATACATAATTCATCCTCTATACTAAAAATACACAAAATAACAAATAATACCCATACTTAAAATGATATTTTCACATTGCTTTCACATGGGCTAAATCGTGTCCCATGTGAACTGACTAAACAACTTTGTAGTAATTAAAAAAAAAAAAAAAAAAAAAGAACTCCTGAAGCTGATTATTTTAACCCGAACCAGTTTTAACCATTACACATCTGGTGACATTCATCCCACAGTTTGCTTTGTTCATGCCATTGCTCAATCCACTGCAGTCTCAGTACACTGCGGTTCACCTCCTACATGGGAGAGGAGCACTCGGACCAAGGACACCACAGCCTGCCGAAAAGGAAGCAAGAGGGCAGCCTGGGGGCAACAACAGCAGCACTAATGGAAACAACAAAAATCAGAATGGTAAGAAACACACAACCTAAAAAAGGTTTTGCTGCTTCCTTCCCTACAGCCTCCCAGTGCTTTCTTCTCCCTGCACAAATACTGCACATTTTGTGTGCTTGCTTGGGGAGGAGGCTACTCCCTTTCCAGAGATCACAAGCATATTTCACACAGGGCTGAGCAAGCTCTTCAGAATAGAAGCCACTGCCCCCAAATGTTCATCTCCTTCCTTCTGTACGCAAGCCCTCCCTTCCAGCCCCCTTTAAATTTTCTACTCAGGGAGATCAGGGTTGTTGGGTCTTTAATCTCCTCCTCACAGTTTCACATACAAACCTTGGCTTCAATATTTGGATACGTTTCCTCCTTCTTTTTTTTTTAATTCTCTTTTGAAGCCAAGTCGCTGAGTGAATCGTAAAGAGAGAGAATTCCAAGAGCGTTAGCTTCTCTGCTGTTCCCAGGGCAGGTCTGGGCCAAAATAAACCCCTGCCGTGCCAGCAGCAGTTACTTACAGTCAAACACCAGGCAGCACAGCACTCTGCAGCTTCCCAGTTCGAACTGTCTCCCATTGCCTTGTTAGAGATAGCCTCCTTAGAGATCCTGTCTCCAGCTGCACCCCTTCCCATGTTCGTCTTGACTCACAAACTAACAAGCAGAAAAGAAAGCAGAGAGAAGGTAAATAGTCTGCCTTGGATCCCGAAAGTCTCTGCCCAGAGCACAACCTGCTTCGCTCCAAAGCTTTTCCATCCCCACCCTCATTTCTGCTTCGTAGCAAAGGTTTTAGAAACTGGTTACAGAAAGTGGTGGTTTACGGTGTGCCTTCCCTCCACCACCTCTGTTCACGCAGTGAAGTTGGATGCCGAAACCAAATTCCTGTTAAAGGATTCAAGGAGCAAACGGCCGCTGCTTCACGGGTCTCCAGTATGCCAGCCGGGACCAAACCTGACAACTGGGCAGAGAAGTCGCAGTCAGAGATCTGTCATCCAAGTCAGTCATTGCACAGAAAGATGCAATTATTTTTACCTTCGGGAAAGAAGCTTAACCTTAAAGCTCAAGCCATGCTATGGAGCCTGTCACTACAGCTATTTGATCATGTTAATATTGATTTAAAGAATTTAATATCATTTCCTCATAAATTTCATAACAATGATGTGAAGAATTTTCCCCGTAGTTGTTTTCAGTCTTCTACACAAGTAGGTGAATTTGCACCAGCTCTGTTCACACCCTTTTTGCATAAACATTTATCCCACAAATTCTGGTCACTGTCGTGTTTGTACAGAGTAAATTTCAGATGTTTATTGGCAAAAGGCTGTACAGGAAATGCCTGAGCATTTGATCAACCAGCCAATGCAAACAATACCATGACAATTGCAGTTTGGGTGATTGTCAAATAATGGCAAAAAACTGTCCATGAGCAAGCCTCGGACATGCAATATTTCATAAATTTATAAAATGATGTCCGATCACTCATTCTGTATAGACAACAAGTATAACCAAGGAAACCAGGGATATTGAAGTGGCAAATTATTGCCATAGGTGCTGTCATCTTCAGAGTGGAGCACTGGAAAGCCTCACACTCTAATTTGCATGAGGAATGCTTCAGGAAAATACCAGCCCAATCTATCGCCCGATCTATTCAGAGGAACTATTTCCTCATTTTTTTCAAGACGTCTTTGCACTCCTCTCCAAGACCAGTAAGCTCCCTGCTCACAGGGCTGGCCCAGGAGACAAACAGCTGAACCGCTCGCACCTCCACACCCTGCTTTAGGGAAGAGCCATCCTTCAGGTCACTTTGAGACGGCATCACTGTAAAACCACAGGCTTTTACAACATTAAGGCATCAGGGACAGCATTCTCTTTAGTATGATCATAAAAAGCTGAGAGTGTTTTTGCAGTCACAGATTGAAGTGCCTAAGCCTGAACAAGGAGGCAAAGCTGGGAGTCCTCGTTCTCTCACACATACACACACACACACACACAAACGCACTTTTTGTAATTGGTTCTGCTCTAATCACAGCTCCTCCTTCCTGCTTTCCTCTTCTTTGTATTTATTTCTTAGCATTCCTAGCTCCAAATAGCAGCCACTGCAGCAAATCCTCCAGTTCTCAAGGGCAGTAATAGTAGAAGGGATTTTTTAATTCAATCAAATGCCTAACAAATCACAGGAATTAATTAGTCTCTTTCATTTGTCTTGTTTTTCTCCTGGTTGCAGTCCCCTCTCACTTCCACCCCGATCCTTTTTTCTGTTCCCCCCTCTTTTCTGTTTCCATATGAATCCGACTTTTCATTTTCCCCGTCCGCGTTCCAGCTCTCTCTCTCCCCCTCTCACAGTGCTGCTGGAACATGCAGCAGGAAAATGATGGATGATCACCTGTCACAGCTTGTTTATTATAATTCAGACAATCAATTACACATCCCTAATGCTGGTTGTCCCGCTGGAAATTTACATGCTCGGCACAGACCAATGTGAAAATGGAATCTCATTTGCCAAATGTCTTTCTGTGGGTACGGCGTGATGATTACAGTCTGGTTGTTTCAACAGTTGTGTGTGTCTGACAATGTCATCGCTTACTGCCTGCCACAGGTCACATTGCTCTGAGGCATTATTTATTGCGTTCTGCAGGCTGAGGCTTTCAGAGGACAAAGATGTTGCTAAAGCCACCGTGCTCAGGGCAAGCAGGCAAGGTAGATCAGAGAGCAGGCACACAGCTCCAGCGCCCATCACCTGCCTTTGTTTCCACTGGTGTGAATCCTTGTACCCCCTCCACCTTCTTTTCTTTTATGGATGACTGCCTTGTATGAAAGGGCTCCTGCATTGACAGGCAGGGCTCTGGCAGGGGGAAAAGCTGCTCATGCAGCTAAATAATCCCAGGACAGCTAGCGATTTAATAAGGAGCAAAGAATTGCAGATAAATGAGACAAAGGGGAAAACCAAAAAGAGCTTGTAAGCGTTAAGCTAAAACGCAACACAGGAGTCTGTGCTGAACCTGCTGGGAAAGGGTTACGTGGATTTCACTGACTGATTTGAGTGGTAGGGTTCATTCTTCCACCTAATTAGGAAGAAGGTGGGAGATCCTGCAGGGAAAAGGATGTAGAGAATGGACTGAGCAGCCCGTCCTGGGAAGGTTTTGATCTGAGGGAGCCACGACTTCAGGAAAAGGAGGGAAGATATTTATATCACGTGTGAACTGTGTTAATGAGCAAATTTAAAAACACACAAATTTCTGTAAATGTAGGTTTTAGAAATTCTAGGCATGGGACGCTTCAACAATATGCCCATCTATCAATAGGGACACATACACATGCAACCATGCATAATATACAAAGAAAATTTCCTCTGCCTTAGCAGGTGAGAAAGGCAGGGAAAGGAAGGTACCTTTCTTGTCTAGAAGCCAAGTTTCTAACATCTCCCTCTTAATTGGAGAGAAGGACATAAGAATTGTCCCATTAATTCATCTTACTGCCTTAGGCTTGCCGTTCTCCGGCACAGAAGTCAGCTGCTTCCCTCCACCTTTCTGCTGGACACAGCCTGGTTTGGATTTTGTATCTAAAGAGCCTGATCCATAAAGCACCCACAAAGTCATTCCCAGGAGGCTCAGGTGGAAGATGGGGAGTAAAATTGTTATACCCACCTTCTCAACATCAGTCTCAGTCATGCATGTGGTTGTACTTCTCCATACAGTGGTTAATCTGCCGGATTAGTTACTTCACTTGGTTAAAATTATGTTTGAGTATTCAACATCTAAATGGTGCACTTCAATTTCACGCTGTGCACTCATTTGTTTTTCTGCTTTTTGACTTCTTAGAAAATCCTTCTGTTCTATGGTATTATTACATATTTATACTTGTATCGATATCAAGTGCACTTCCAAAAATTTCGAATTTCGTATAATTAACGGCTTTCTTTTCTTTTCTTTTCTTTTCTTTTCTTTTCTTTTCTTTTCTTTTCTTTTCTTTTCTTTTCTTTTCTTTTCTTTTCTTTTCTTTTCTTTTCTTTTTTCTTTTCTTTTCTTTTCTTTTCTTTTCTTCTCTTTTCTTTTCTTTTTTCTTTTCTTTTTTCTTTTCTTTTCTTTTCTTTTTTTCCTTTCCCTCCATTTCTTTCTCAGTAAAGTTACACCTTTCTTCTTAGAACTAATTTCTGACCAGTGTGATTCCATGCCAGATTGTGCCAGCACAAAATATTCAAGGAAGTGCAACAACTGTCTTACTGTCACCGACTACAGAGCTCAGGTGCAAAACTGGAACGGGGCACTAGGGGAGCAGGCCTCATCAAGCATCCCAGTTGTCACTGTGGGGCACTTGCAGAAGGATGGATACCTGCTGATTTGAAAGACCTTCACAAGAATTCACAGGAACCGGAACTATCCCCGGGAGTAGTCTTGCCTGTTATAAATGCCTCAGCACTGAACAGGATGGTCTCAAAGCAATTCAAATATTTCTACATTCTCTCTCCTCAAGGCATTCACCACTGGCTCAGAGTTCGGGGACTCTGGAAGGCTTACGTGCCACAGGGGGAAGTTGAGGAAGGACACATCCACATCATTTAAAGAGCAGATGTGGAGCAACAGCTCACACACTGGCCTGTAAATATTCAGATACAGGCACACCAAAGCGTGCACAAAACACTCAAGAGCCAAACACAAATTCTGTTGAGCTGTGCATGCATGTAGCTCTACAGGCACACATTTTGATAGAAAATTTCAGGCTTGGGTATATTCTGATTACAACCGTACATGTACAACCATGCAGGTTCTTAGAGCATCCATGAAGCCAGGCTGGATGCCCATATAAGAGATGTTTCATGGGATTTAAATATTTGTGTGCTGGCTTTGTGAATGGTAAACTGTTTGTTTCTGCATTTCTCATCCATATTCTGCATTCTATTTTCATTTATTTACATGCAGTGCAATCTCTTATTCACTGAGGTTTTATCAGTTATACACACACAACGTATGCATGGACGCAGAATTTGGCCTACTGTGAATGACAAAGAGAGGAAAATATCTGAGGGCTTTTGCTCCCTCTTTTCTTTCTGAGCACATTAAGCTTCTTAAGTTTGAACGTTCCTACTGAGTCAGATATTGACAGACATATTTGCCTTTTAGTGCTTTCAGGTTCATTGGTTGTGTGAACTTGAAAACACAGCTGGTAAACATGGAAAACATCCTCAATTTCAAACAAGAACATTGAGGCATTTGGAATTAGAACCAAAATACAGATAAAAAAATACATTCAGTACATGAAACATTGTCCAAAAAGAAAGATCTGCCCATGGCATTTGAGAAAAATGCAAAAACTAATTGAATTTGTATCATTTTGGACATTCTCAAACACAATCAGAAGCTTTAACATGGGTTTTTGCAACAATAGCCAGTGTCAAAGCCTGAACAGAAAACTAATCTCAAAGCCTGAACAGAAAACTTTATACAGAGAGGCATTATCTTGGTTGGATTCCAGTGTTTGGAAGTGATGACCTCTCTCCATGAGATTTAAATGTATTTTCCCCAGTTATTTTAATATTTCCATCTAATTAATATTTTATAGCAGACAAATACAATACAATCTGCTTGAATGCAATACCACGAGCCAGTGCTTGTCATAAACGAGACAGCCTCAGTGCACTGCATCGGAAGATTCAATAGAGTAAACTCTGACCTTTGAGTGATGGAGAAGAGGACTGGTAGATAGGAAAGATAACATAGGATACTCCTAATCTACATCTTTTCCCACTTAAAATAATCAGAGAGAAGTTCTATTATCTTACTTCAGATTCCTTTGATATCCAAATTTAACTGCAAAACTCAAGAATTCAGCCCAATGGATAAAGCAATTGTCACACACTACAATAAAACCTCTGATTCTCGTACAAGAAGCCTCCAGTGAAGGTTTAGATCTATGAGAGCGAGAACAAAGAAGTTCTTGTCTGTCCAAGTTACTTTTCTTCCCTTGCATTTTCTCCTTCCTAAAACAGCATATTGATGTCTTTGCTTAATCAGTAGCAGTATATTTTTTTTTCAAAAATAAGTATATGAATTTTAATCTGTGAGCACAAAAATATTAGCACTGTCTGCAGAAAAAAAAACATGACATCCATACACCCCCCCAAAAAAAATAGATTAAATAACGAGTTTCTACTTCAATAAGCAGGACTAACCCTAAGGAGGGGTGTCCTGCTGTTCAGAACAGTTGTCTTCCCAAGGTGGAGGATGAGTGGCGAGTCTTTCCAGGCAGTGAAATGGTGATGTACTAATGACACCTTTAATGATCTTATGAACCATCTACTGGTGTTTTCTCAGTTCTGTGTGCACATACGTCAGAAAACATGCCCTTTTTTCTTCCTTACAAAATACAGGCAGAAGAAAGTACACAGCTTGGGATGACAGCTACGTATGTTCCCTGAGCGAACAGATGTATGAGATGTAGTTGTGTGCGACAGCAGAGGACCGGAGCAGATAAATTTAGAAGAACCTCTGAGACCTTTGTTCCTATTGAGACCATGTGTGATATCCGTGGTACTGGGTTCAGCAAGTCTGTGTGCAGCAGATCATGTTGGTTAGTTATTCATACGTTAAATCTCTGTCTCGGCAGCCCTGTGAAAAGTAATATTGGTTGCAAATCCCACTGAGTCAACTCAAACCATAACAAAGCACTCTCTCTCTGCATATACATACACCCACATGTGTACACAGATCTGTTGACCACAGTGGTTTTGTTTTTAACTAACCTGTTGCTAGAGGACCAGCACGCTTAGCATTTCGGCTACATGTGCATCTAATTTCACAAACGAGGCAAGAGCATGTGAAAGGGCTTGAGTCCTTCTTACATAGCAAAAGGCTTCCTGTGCTCCTGAGAGTTCTGTATGAGTTGGCATAAAACAAAGTCTGCTGAGGGGGTTAGGGAGGAAATGGAGCAATCAAGTGTGTAAGGAGTCACTGCTACCCACAGAGGGAAATGTCATTCTGAAGCCGGCTGAAGTGAATCATATTGAGCCCTCAGCCTCTTCTTTTTTTTTTTTTCTTTTTCTTTTTCCTTTTCTTTTTCTTTTTCTTTTTTTCCTACTCCTATCTTCAGAAAGATGCAATAGTTACTAATAGGAAGAAATGTAAACAAATGCTAGTTCATATTGCTATAAAATCCTAATTGCATATGGGAGAGCATTTGGGATGAGGAAGGCCACCTTTGTCGTTACCTGTGGAATGTGAAGCTGAGCTGAAGGAGGAGGGAGTGCTGCGGCATCATTACCACTTGGCTCGGTATATTAGCCAGGCTGTGAGGATCAAAATAGTGCCAGCTGTCTGCAGGTGCTTAGTGAAGTAAGATCTCAAGAGGGACCTGTAAAACAAGGCGTGCTCTGGGATACTTTGAGTGAGGACACAGTGCTTCCCGAGCCTGGTGCTAGCTGCGGAATGACTGCCCTGAACAACTGCAGGACTGTTTGCAGCCTGGGCTGCTGACGTAGGCAGCCAACCCTGATGCCTTCTGTGCCAGGCTCATAATTCGGTCAATTCTACCCAGAACGTGAAGTACACCTTGCCTCCACAACAGGCTAGAGGCACACACAGATACATGAGTCAGGGAAGGTTTCTGTGTTCCTAGGGGAGAAGTTTTCTCACTCTTCTTCATCAGCTTGGGAGCTGCCAGAAGACTCACTTCCAAACTGAGGTGCGGCCAGAAAATCTAATCCATTAAAGAAGCTTTTTTCCTCCTCAACTGCTACCTTGTGAAACAGCCGAATTCTCACACTTACAAGGAAAGTTCCTTTTACTGCTGCCCCCAACAAACTTGCTGCAACTGGAATTTGAGTTTGCTTATTACGGTGGACTCAAGTTACACCAGACGTCTCATTCCTCCTCGCTCTAACTGGTATTTTGCTGCTCGTGCAAGTCCCGCTGTTTTACAAAACAGATCCATTTCTACATTATTTTTGTTACTTATTCATAGCGTAGGAGCACCGAAAGGTTCTCCACCAACTCAGTTTTTGACTGTTAGGCACTACACAATCACATGCAGAGGGACCACCTTTCTATCAAAGAATTATAGTCTAAGCAGGCGATGCAGACAAAGGGCAGAAAACCAAGAGGCAGAGAGAGTTTACTTGTCCAAGGTCAAAAGCACAGCTGGTAATACAATCTTCCTATTCTTATTCCATTACTCAAACACTAGGCAAAAGTGTCTTCCTAGCCTCCTCTCTCTCCGGTTCTTATCCACCCGCTCAAAATCCCCCAACTGTGGCGTGTAAACACTGCGCAAATCAGTAACACATGTGGAGAGCTCAGATGCTACCCCATGCACGGGGTATGCTGAACCTGTCTGGAAAGTGTGACTCAGGACACGTCCGGGACGTTGTGTATTGTCACAAGGCCGAGGTGCAAAAAGGGCTCGGATCATTCTGCAGCGCTACCTGGCAAGCACCGAATGTCTCTGCTCCTACTGACGGAAGCTTTCGGTTCCCTGCAGCAGCCCAGCCTCGTGTCAGCTCCTCTCTTTCTACACCATCGAGCACTTCTACAGACATTGCCAACTGATGCATGCAACATATTTCTGAAATAAAGACCAGGTACTTGTTCCTTCTTTGCAGGCATGCTCCCCAGAGCAAATGATTCATGTTGCTCGAGTCGGAGCACCTCCATCTGCGCGAGTGAACGCCTTGCTCTTCACGGGTTGCAGGAGGTAGCAGAGAGGACCCCACTACTTCGCCCGCAGCATTCCTAGTCTTGCTTGAGTGCACTTTTTGACAGTTAAGACCGGAGTTTTGCTGAGTCAGGCAGCTCCCCCAGCTGCTCACCGGAAACACAGCTGTTATGCAAAAATAACCATGAAGGCGAGAACTTGGGCTTTTTTAGAGAAAACGAAAAGCAAAACACAGTGACCCTCAAACTCAATAACAGGCTCCTGAAGCTCTTCAGTTAGATGCAATCCTACTTCGTGCACCTCTTCTGTTTGGGGCTAGGACCCGTGCTGATCACTGTCCTGTTCTTTTTAGGCTGTGTCTGGGTGATAGGGCAGGAGCCAGAGCCATCTCCCCTCCCGATTTTGTTGATCCAGACTGGGAAATCTGAGCTCACTGTTTAATTAGGAAAGGATGGGGGAGGGTGACAGGCAGGTGGACAGCTAATAAGTGGAACCCCACATTGCAGCCCATTGCCTGTATCAGGTTATGGAACAATATCAAACCCGGGCTGGCCAAGCTGCTGTTTCCTTGCGCCTGTGTCCGCGCCGTCCCCAGTTGTGCGGTGGCACCTGTTCCTCTGAATGTGAGCACAAGCTGTTCCCTCGGCGCTCCAGCACATACGAGTCACGACTCTCAGATTCAGCAGCTACTTGGATAATGCCCTCATTTCTTAAAGGGCTCCGTCTCCACTGCTGTTGGCCAGCTCGGTATCACCCTGCACAGAAACTGCTCCAACAAGAGCTGAAGTCTGGGAGAAGGCGGAATCACAACACAGCCGTGGGAAATGGGGGAAGCTGAGCGCTCACAAGAAAAAAAATAAAAAAGAAAAAAAGAAAGAAAGAAAGGAATTGGCTTCTTTAGGTAGCCAGAACTGCAGTGGTTTGTTGATCCTGAATGTGGCCAGCACCGAGGCATCTGCTATATGACCTCATTTATCAAGGTCCCCTAGGTTCCAAAAAGAGTAGCAATACGTAGGGAAACACACAGCACCCTGACCCGTTGGCTGGGTGAAGAGGAGGAAGGAGCAATGGGGAGTGCCTCTCTGTCCTTCTTTAAAACCCCACGGTTTTGTTCTACACAGCATGTGCTGTAGATGGGCTAAACCCACCAGGCTTCTCACCATCTCTGCCATGGATCTGCTGAGATGCTCTTCAAGCCCTGGGCACAGCGCTCATTTTGCCTCCAAATGGGCCAATTAAAGGTCAGTCCTGAACAACCTTAATCTCATTTCACCTCTCCCCAGCCGCTGAGAGAAGTGAGCTGCCCTTTCCCTCCCCCTACAGCTGCTGCCCGGGGAATTACACCTAGCAGTCCCCATCCCTTAGCACTGCAGCAGATTAATTTGGAGAGGCCCAAAGTGGCAAATAAGCAAAGAGGATCCTGTGGCATTAAGGCCCCAGAAATCAAAATGAAGAGGATAATTAAACGTAGGCTGGGAAAGAGGGAGTAGATGGGGGCAAGAGAAGAAGAAAAGTTATAGTGGACATTCAAAAGAGGCAGCAAGCAGGTATTAATTCACACAGTAGTTCCATGAACAACAACGGGTGCCCAGAAATTCTATTTGAAGGCTGTAATATTAATTTAATGGGGAGGAAAATCTAATACAATTCCCGCAGAATTTTTCAATTAAATTAATGTGATGGGCTTTAATGGATATCTTAAGTAGCAAGCATGATTAACAGAAATGCTGCATAAATTACACTTATATATTTCATTTAAAAAAACCCTGGCACACAGCCTTGCCATGCAGGGGACCTTATTCTTTTAAATACAGTTACAGCTGGACGCCAGGGTTTAGAATTCCCCTGCTCGGAGATGAACCGTTTCCTCTTGGGATTTTTCTTCCTCCCATAGTCTTGACCAGCAGCAATGCAATTCCAGAGAACCAGGAGGAGCTGAAGCTGTGAACCTTGTTTTTATCCCTGTTTGTAGTGTCTGGGGAATGCGGGTCTGGTCTGGGCACAGGACTTTGGAGTTGTTGCAGTACACCTGATGCATTATTAACAGCAGCCTCCTGTGGGAGGAACACACCCTGCCACGGCTCAACACTGGGTAAGACAAGGCAATGTAGCGAGGAAGAATTTTAATGACATACTGCCCCCACCCTAACCACAGTGCCAGTGCCACGAGCACAAAACCCAAGGCTCCAGGAATGGTACAGATGTAACCACAGCATCCATCTCCGTCCTCCACAAGATAGACTTAAAGGGCTTTCAGATAAGCTGCCCAGGTCGCGTAGCCCAAACTGTACGGAAAATAGTAAGCTGTTCAGTCAACATCCCATCTCCAGCGTCGTTCCCCTTCTCACCCTCTGACACCTCCCTGTTGCCATCCACAGCCCACACAACTGCACCCTCATGCAGGAGAGCCTCGGTGCCGACCGTTTTGAGCACTGATGCCTCATGTGGTGTTGGTGAGGCCCTCCTAAAGTCACGCTGCATTTCTCCCCCGTTTCCTGTGCTAGTACAAAGCAGGAAGCAATGCAGAGGTGTCTAGTAGCAGATGTTGGCCATGAGTTACATGTAGTGACTTTTAATTCAGGCAAGAATTGCAGGGCTAGAAGAGGTCCATGTATGTACCAGTGTGGTGGGGCAGTGCCCGCAGTCAGCATCCATTGCTCAGGAGCAGCTCTGCAGTGCGCCTGGACAGGAGCCATTGCTCTTGTGGTTTCAGATGGCTCAACGCCGTATTAATTAGTGAGTGCTGTCACATAGCTGGCTTACAGATTTTAACATTTGTCATGCAGAGGTAGGAAGAGTTTTGGTGGAAGCTCAAGGCATTGGTTGTTGCAGTAAAACCACTTTTAGAAGCTGCGTATATCATTCATCAGATGAGCTCAGCGTAGTTGTACCCCATATCTACTGTTTTTTTAGGTTATACCCACACATGGAGCTAAATTTTATCACAGAGATACCACACATACATTTCATACTTCCACCCACACAATCCGCACAGAGATGTATTCAACAAGCTTTACAAATACTTGAATGAGAAGAGGATCCTGCAGATAAAATAGATCCAAGTTTTATTCTCAGCTTAACTACTACACGAACCTGCCACCCCTCTGAGCAATTACTAGGCACTAATTTTCAGCAGCAGTGTCTCTCACCTCACTCTTAGTTTTGGAGAACTGAGGCTCCAACTCTCCTCTTGCTTAGCCATTAACTCTTCCTGAAGTAAGCAGGGACTGATATGCCCTGAACATCAGGACTCGGTTCCTTCAAGTCAAGCCTTCAAAAACGCTGATTTTCTGAATTAGCAGTAATTTTGAGTACTAAAGACACAATTAACTTTCTAATTTGCAAACCTAGTTCAATAAATTTTTACAATTTTCATAATCATGAATCCTAAATAAAT